GATCTACAAAGATCTCCTTAATCCTCATCACTATGAAATCTTCTTAATCTACTTCACTACTTCTACACTAATATGCATTTTTGTATACAATGGATGCGGGTGCGGTTGAGACATTGGGGAACTTCACTAGACTAGCGCTTCTAAGCCATACTTGCCCTTGAGACACATTCCCAGGCAAGCATTAGCTAGGGTGCGTCATGAGCCAGGTACTTAGGAGCTGGGTGCGGGCAAGGTGGTGGCAAGCCGTTAACCCACCTGTCACATCGCTACAGATGGAGGTACAGGTAGCTTTGTATTATCCACTTGAACAGCAGATCTTCGAGTTTTTTGTACTGCGCTTCCCTTAAACGATGCCGTGTTGCCAAGACGTTTGCAGGGATACCCTCGGATCGTTGCAGCACTGTTGCTCGCTTCTTCCAGAGCTGCCGGATGGCAGACTCGTCCACGGCGTATGAACGGGCTATGGCTCGCACTGACCGTATGCGCGTACCAGCAAGTTCATCGAGTATGGACAAACGCTCGACTTCGGTAAGGCGTTCGCCTCCCCCACGAACCATCGTCGAAATGAACTCTGACCACCAATGCATGTTTGATGATACAGTTGTGTGTATCTACACCACCACTTCGTCCTGATTACTATCAGTAACTTTATTAAATTTTTTAATTTTTTGTATTTTTATTGTAAATTGTAACTCCACTAACTCCGCACTTGTCATTCCAACCCTGTGCTGACTGTGTGGAGTTAAGCGAGAGCTTACTGTATGGGTGCGTTTTAATGTAATGTACATTTGGCTTGGCCAATGAGAGCCATGTAACAAATATATTCAGCCAATCAAAGCATAACCATTTTTCGTCCATATGCATCGATGTAATTGGTGGATATCTACCAATCAAACGCTGAGTATGGCACGCTACATCCATTTAATTAGCGGAAACTTACTTTTAGTGGTGTTGTATCTGTCATTTATGAACGAATCGCTTCATTTAAAAAACATCAGGATCAGAGCGAACACCAGCTATCGGCAGCCAATCGAAATTCGAGATATTTGGCACAGTGGTCGCCGTGATAGGTCAAATTTCGTCAAATGTACTGTACTTTATAAAGAGACACGGAGTAGTACACAAGTACCAAATCCCAGCGTCTCATCAACTCACGCCAGCAGCAGCTAAATTCTCATATCAGTGATATATCGCACTCTCGAGTACACTCATTATCATTTTCCTGGCTTAGTCGTTGTGTTTGTAAACTCTCCCCATTGGAGTCGACATCGAATGACGAATGGTCCATGCGAATTTCACATTAGGGAGGGACCAACAGCACCTCATGGTTTCGGTCGACCGGGGTCGACACCCAAGGTCCCAAGTCAAAATGAGGAAGTGATCGGTAGAACAACCATCAGTAAGGAACGTATTATCGGGGCATAGTCACGAAGGGTTGATCAAATCAAGTACAAACTGATGTAAACATAGAGCTGAAAAGACCCGTTTATTGGGTGCGTGCTGTAACAGTAGTACATCACTTCACAGCCAATCCACACCGGTTGGCGGAAATTGTAGTCCAGATGGAGCAAACTCGTGTAGAACGCCCGCTGGCGATTGAGGTTTTGGAGCTGTCGCCAGTCGAGAATTTAGTGCGGTAGGCTTGGCATACATTCTATTGTCTGTAAGATTCATATTCATGCTACCGGCGTGCTCCAGGACGTCAGGATGGCATACTTCGTTGAAGAAGTCCATTGGGACCTCAAGCGCATTGAACTGTAAACGACCCAACACATCTGTTGAGAAATCTGTGAGCGTTTACATGATGTAAAATTTATTGGCAACCGGTGTGTAAATTTTGCTGATGCAGTGATGTACTTTGAAGGTGTTTACATAACTGCATCAGCCAAATGTGGATGCTCTTACGAATTCATCAAAAAGATGCGTTTAAAGGGGTTTAAAAATATCATGAAGCTTCTTTCAATAAAATTTGACCTATTTCAGTTCGATTTATGGAATTCGTAGGTGGCTCACCTTCTGATTGGCTAACTTATCCAAAATCCGGATTCAACCTTACTTTGAATCCGGATTTTGAATCAGAATAAAGTTGTTCGGTGTTGAAACGTTCAGTGATTAACGTTACGAATTCTGTATTATATGTGTAGTGCTTTCAAGCTAAATTTGGTATTTTCGGTAGATTTGTCAAATCCACCTGAAATCGTCGAGACGTCATTTTACTTAAACAAAATATACTCACTGTCTGTCCGATGCAATGTTGAACTCTTTGTGAAATGGAGAAGCTTGGCAATAAACACGTGGCTAGTGTGGCATTCGACAATGCAATCCCCACGACTTCGATTGCTACAGCACTCCACGGTCAGCTTGCGATTGCGTCTGTTGCTGATTCGACGCCATGCCGTTGTCGAACGGTTGACCATACCAGATGTGACTTTCTCGTTGAAGCAGTACTCCGATGCGGACTCCAAGTAGAAGTTGCGGTTTATCAAGCCAACGACTCAAACGATGTTTGGCATTCCAAACCGGGTGGTGACTGCTGAGCGCACAGCCTGCACTATCGAGCGAGGCTCTTTGCATCGTGCTGCGCCGTTTTGCTCTTCCGGACCGGTGGTCGGATTTGATGGCGATATTTAGCCGCTCTTGGAGTTGCCTGTGCAACATTTACCTCCACACCCTCGACCTCATCTACCAAAGTTCTGTGACACGATATTCCTCGACTACAACCGGATTCACACCAAGTTGGCGTCCTATAGCCAAGCGATTGTCGACAAGTGTAGCGAGGTCATTGATGGGACTGTTAGTGAGTGTTGTCGCCCTAGCGGAGACGAAAGGCAGCGACCAGTGTTTAACGGGCACAAGAGACGTCACACAATCAAATTCCAAACGTTGGTCTCCCCCGATGGCGTCATTTCACACCCATTGAACCCAATCGAAGGACGCCGCCATGATCTTAGCATTATGCGGTAATCAACAATTGGGGGAAGCCATCCAAGCCAATGGTGGTTTTGAGTGCTACATCATTTATGGTGACCCTGGGTACGGCTGCACCAATCAACTTGTGTCACTGTTTGGCGGTGCCACGTTGAACCAGGCACAGGGATGTGTAAATGCGAGTATGAGTCGTGTTCGAGTCAGTGTTGAGTGGAGCTTTGGACAATTTTTACAGTCCTGGCCAATTGCGGATTTCAGAAAAGATGCGACTTGGAGGTAGCCCAGCCGCCAAAATGTTCAAGTCCCAGTTCTGTTAACAAATTGCATTACTTGTGTGCGAGGGAAAAAAACAAACAGTGTGTACTTTGGAATGTCACCACCAAGACTTGAAGAGTACCTTAATTTCAATAAAATGGCTTTTATTCCTTTTTTTTCACAATTGATTTCACTAACACCCCCATGTTCAACGAATAATTTTTCCAACAGTGCGCCACGCTGTGCATTCTCGGCCATTTGAGCCTTTCGTAGCTGTTGCTCTTCACGGTCAAATTTTAAACGCTTCATTCTAAACTTATGATTATCCATTTGTTTCTTCCTCTCGAATTCGAGTAGTTAATCAACCATAGCGTCAGATTGCTCACGTTTGGCCGACACGTACAACCTCGCGTAACAACCCAAGGTCCATATCATCGTCCGTCCACTTTAACTGTGCCTGGTTAGGTTTACCCATGTCAAAAGTGCAAATGCAATACCTAGTGGAGCAGTTGAAACCAAGCAATATGATTCGCTGAAGAAGTTGGTTGGAGCAGTGCAGACTTTGGCCCCCAAAGTCAACACTTTCAGCGATATCCCGGACCAGATTTCCGACTCATAGATCAATATTCGTAATTCGATCCGAAGTTTTAGTGTGTGTTTTTCAAAGATTTTCAAATTATTAAAAAAAAACTTTTGTTTCTTCAATTAAAAAAGATACAACTATTGTCCATTTTCGTCAAATTTCCCAATTTTGCATGGTTCGTTCAATCGAGCACAAAAAAAGCCGAGACATCTGATTGGCCATTATCCACTTCGCCCTTTCCAGTAGAAACTCGAAAATGGATTGTAGCCAATCAGAGACAAGTAATTTCTGATTGACCAATGGGAGAGATTGGTGCTCGATTCGCTCGGCGAGATTCGATTGAACGGGGTCCGGAAATTCATACCGAATCTCCAATAATAACCAATATTTTATGACTTGCAAAATGTCTCTATGCACCGAATACACCCACCTGCAAACTTGATTGGTCAAAAGGTATTTTTTCGAAAATTTCATTGGCTACTTCGGTCCGTCGATTACTGTGTCGATTTTGCTTCGTCGATTCGATTGGCAGCCCCCCAATCCATTTTGATTACCAACATATGATTTTTTTTAAACTTGTACTTGTAACATTAGGATTCCAATGGCATAAAATGGCCGTTTTCCCAAGAAAAATTGCCAAAATCGAAATATTCAAATTTTCGAAATTTTGTTCAATTTTCGCTGAGTTTATGTTGGAGACAATAAAAAAAATATATAAAAAGAATTATGTAGTTTCTAATACGAATAATTATGAATTTAATAATTTAATAAAATTAAAAATGCCACCCACCAAAGTTCAAAAATTTATGCCACAATATCGGGTGTTTCATGGCATAAAAAAAATGGACCGATTTGGTCCAACTTTTTTATGGAGTTTGTGTTCACTGTCAATCGGAAATTGGGCATCCAGACAACTTTGTAACGTTAGATATTAATACTTCTTTTCTCCTTTTTCATGGGATATGAGACTTTGGGAAATATTTGCAGACTTGCCAAAACGGTTTATGGCATTATTTTGTGGCGTGGCATCCAGACCAGACCAACTGTCATTTTCGAACACGAAAACAAGAGATGAAGTCGCTGAAGTATGTGGTGATCCGCGACGGCCGCATCGGCGGTGTGACAGTCGAGGACAACCAGCGAGTGTGGGAGCTGAAGAAGGTGATCAAGGACGCAAACCGCATTTCGATTGATGCCAAGGATATTGAGCTTTACCCCGCGAAGACGAAGGACGGCAAGTGGTTGACGATGGAAGGCGACGAATTGAAGATGTTGAAGAACGGACTGCTTCATGAAACCATCAAGAATATCATGCAGCATGGAAACGCAATGGATCCAACCTATCCTGTCGGCGATGCTGCGTTCAGCGTCGTTCCAAACGATGGTGCCGTTGGTGACATCCATGTGTTGGTAGACCTTCCGGCGCGTCGTGAGACTGAATTTGTCGTCAACGGTGTTCGATATCCGGTCATTCATCATCGCTTTAGCTTGCATCCTGTCAGGCATAGCATTGACCTGTATCCCCCAGAATTGGTTGCGTTTTGGACGGCTCTACGAACCAATCACACTGCGGTAGAAGCGAATGCAGTTGTCAAGTTGCCCGAAGGAATCCATCTACTGGGAGATCCAGCTCTCGGATCGCAAGTGTACATTCGGCCTTGCTACCCCCCGCTATTGAAGTTGTGTTGGGAGATTATCCATGACCCCAAGTCCCCCCACCTCGTGATCCTCGGCAACCCAGGCATCGGCAAGACATTTTTTGGGTTTTTCATCTTGCTTCAACTGGCTCGTGAGAACAAGACGGTGGTATACGAGAGCGGGCTGTCGAAGAGTCGCTACTTGTTTGCTGGTGACACCGTGGTCAAAGGATCCCAAGATGACTTCGTTGACATTCTCGACTTGCCAACGACGTACTACATTGTGGACGCCGCCCAGCCCCCCAAGTGCCAAGCCATGACGATCCTACTGACGAAGCCGAAGCTCAAGGTTTGGTACTCGTTCGCCGAGGACAATTGCGATATTCGGTACATGCCTGTTTGGACCTGGGACGAGATTTCGACATGCCACAAGCTGCTGTATCCGGATCTTGAGCTGAACGTTGTCACAGATTGCTTTCGACGCTGGGGTGGTGTCCCTCGCTATGTTTTGCAGTATGCGCTCAGGGACACCCAGCAATCGTTGCTTGAACGAGCTATTGCCGTAGTAAATTGCAACTGGGTGACGAACGCAATTCGCATGCTCGATGCATATTATTGCGACGAGGCGTATCGATTACTTCAATCTCACACGTCGCACGTGCTGCTCCACTATCAAGTCAGCGACAAATTTATGAAACTGCACGTGGATTTCGCCTCGCAATATGTCCAGGACGAGGTGTACAAGCGGGCGTGGCGCGACGATCCGACGACACTGGTGGAGTTTATGACTGCTGCATCGTACACTGGAAGCGACGAGTTTGCTGTGCTTCGTGGCCGCATGTTTGAAAGTTACGTGCATTCGGTGTTGCCCCGTGGTGGGCGCTTTCAAATTCGGCGCCTAGAACCCTCAGAAGGAGGCAGTGGTGAAGCCAACGCTGATCAAGATGATAAAGGCGGCGAGGACGAGGAGAAGGCCGATGACGGGGCGGTGGAGACAAAAGGTGATGTTGCAGCTCAAGTTATGGCCCACGGAACTGGGGCGGGGCTTGCGGCGTGGGATATTCACGAAGATGAAGGCATCGTCGAGGTATCTCCACAGCGAGCAGTCGTGTTCAACACGAAGGCCAAAGTGGCCTCTGCCGCAAGCGGTACTTATCTACGCCCCGCTATCAAGCACGACCTGCCAGTAGACGCGATAGTCAAGCCAGACATGTTGGTGACTATTGCGGCCAAACATCTGAACAAGCAAATGGATCTGGACGACGCTTTGGACCTGCTTGGAAATCCGGTAGCCCCACGACTCTTCTTCGTGCTCCCACCTGGTGAATTTGACGATTTCCCATATCAACGTGATTTCGAGTCAAAAGGCAATGCGAAAGGAGTTTTCAAGAGCGTCATTCAGCAATTTGCCATGCAAGTCACGCCAGCAGTAGTCCAACGCGAGATGACGCAGCCGAGCCGCGACGGTCCCAGCAAGGTTGCCAAGCGAAGTCGTCATGAGTAGATAGTTGGTGTGGGTTTTGAATCGTTATGATAATGCAAGAAAAGATTTTGATGGTCATCACGAAGAAATAAATGTACCTTTGATCTTGAACCGAGTAGATAGGAAAACGAGTTTCCAGCATTAATTACGAAGTACAAGATATTGTCGATTTGATACAAATTTGGGGAGACGTTTGATCTCGTCATTAGTACAGTCGCCGACCAAACCGATCTACAATCGATCTGATTGGTTTTGAATTTCATTTAGAAGGTTTTGATTGGCTAATACTTTTGAGCTTCTCTGAGGTAGCCAATCAAATCGATTTAAATTCCAACGAGAAACCACGCCACAACACAATGAAATTTCACTCGAAAGCACAATAACATACATACTTTTCGAACGCGATGTGGGGTTTACAATGACCTCCTACTTCGACGAGCACTTATCTTGAAGCTGGTATTTCGCTCCAGCTTCGACCGGATATTTTGATGGTCATATTTTTATACTTGTTTAACGTAGCCTTATATACTAGTACTACTTGTACTACAGTAGCACCTATACAGTATCTGTAGGTTCCCAACACACGCTAACCGACGAGAGCCCTTCGTTCAGTGTGCACTGAATTCTCGGCTTGTTTATTCGGATGAACAGTGTGTAAAACTATACTCACATGATTATTATTGTGCAGTACTACATACAGTACTACTCCGGAGTACTAGTAATATGGCATCGTTTACTTGCAATAGCTCTCAGACATTTTCCGATATCGCTGGCCACGTTACAAAGACACCGGACGACATTTTCATCGCCATGCTCGTGAGGATAACTCGTATTTTCAGTTAATTTAGTATTACTAGTTTGTATAATAAATGGCGTCTACTGTTAAGTAAAAGTCCAATTTAAGAACACTTTTTCCGAGACGCTGCCGTGGACTCGACTCGTAGGTATCGGATTATAATTCTAGAATATGTTACATGAAGCCAAAATCCAGGCCTATTCGGGAGTTATGAATGCGATATGATTCCTGTTATAATTCATTATCATTCACTCCACTTTGTCCACAAACAGCTTAAAATAAGCGGTCCAATTTAAGGTGCGCCATTTTAAGCTTAGTCTTTGTATATTCATTTGCATACTTTTTGGGCGGTTAGGTTAAAAACTGCCATTGTAGGAATTGATTGGCTAACTCGCGTGCACCTTAAATTGAATCGAGCACTTTAAATTGGACTTTTACGTTAGTCCTAACTTTACTAGCATACGATCCTACAATGGAATACTAACGTTAACGTTACTAGGAATAATATTACGTGGTTCCATCCCGATTCCCTCGTGCCATTTTGCCTCTGACAGAGTAGAAACATCAGTGGTGATGATGACCAACGTTATAATAATAATCATCCTTCCTCTACTAACTTACACATATCCGTGAACCAAGGCATACCAATATATATATATATATATATGTATATACATGATGGAGGTGTCTGATGGCTGCTTGCGATGCAAACAGGGTTGGCCTCTCGTTATTGGTGGCAATATACAGTATATATATATATATATATATGAACTTCAAATAATGTACAGTCATGTGTACTACAGTAGGTACTACAGTGGCATGTCGTGCTGCAAACGTTCGAGGCCCCGGAGGACATGCGTGTGGTCTTGGATGTGCATCTTAGTGTGTCGTTTGGCGTCGCCGACTCGCCGCCGCAGATTCTACGCAAAGCCGCCGCGTGTCATGCAAGGCGGGGAGGATTTCAGTGTGCATTGATCGATCGCCTGGATATACCTTGAACTCGGCTTTCTTGGCATGGAATTCGACATGCAGGTCCATGAGGAGTTGGCGGGTGGTCGGGCACAATAATGCGGCCGCAGTAGGTTTCGGCGGCGACGATGGACGGTTCTACGACGTTGTGGTGGGCTTATCATGTCGAGCATGAAGAAGGAAGAGTGCACCAGATGGCGCTGCTTTGGAGGTATCTTGGAGATGGAGGGGGGAGGATGGACGAGTGGGAGGTCAGCGTCGTCAACCTTGCGCCTTCGCGGCGGCGACTCTGCCGTGACGACGGACGCTTGGTCCAGATCGGCTGTGCTGTTGCTTGGGCATGGAAGATGGGTTGTACCCGGTGGGGAAGACGGTGATGCTTTGCTCGAGATGGCATCTACACGTGGAAGAGGCCAGCGCGATCGCGGGCTTGGTGGCAAGGATGCCAGTCTGTTGTACATGGTTGTTTTCATGATGCTTCGAGCAAGGCAGGATGCTATGCGACGGCGTACGTGTCGTGGAACAATGCGATGGTGGCGTCGGCAGCCTTCGTCGCCTCCAAGATGACGCTGCCCAACTCTGTGAGCATGGACGACCTTGCGTGGCCTTGCAAGTCGGCGTTCGTCACGTAGCCATACATGTCTTCCAAATGCCTCATGGCAGTCTCCAGTCGATCGATCGTTTGGGTAGCCAGCGTTGTCATGGAGCCCCCCATGTCAGTCCTAGATGGAACTGTCCGTCATGACATCCTGCTCTGCTACTCCATCGCGCTAGCGTCCACTACCTGTCATGTTGTCGCTCATGTTGTTCTACACGAACTCTCATCGCCGCGATGCTGTTTGAATTTCTCCACAGGATCACATACCTTGCAACATCGCTGCTAGAGGAAGCGTGCCAAAGATGCCCCGTATGTTGTCACTGTTGGCATGCGCCGGATCCTTGGCGAGGAATCGTCCGCGCCGCGGTGGTTCCATGTGGCCGTCGCGCGTTCGACACAGTTGAAACTGGGAGTTACGCGAGAATTTCGGATGGACTATGATTGGCTATAATTCTGTATGAATGAGTTGTCTGATTGGCTAGAATTCAAATCGTAGGGCGGCCTCCAATCAAATGGCTATAAAAAGGGAACAATCATTTGCCCCAGTATTTTGCCCGCCGCCATCATCTCGTCATGGAGCGGGTGCTGAGCGCGCTACGGTCCTCCGGTAAGCCAGATTGGGATCGACGGCGATGTAGATGCATGCTATGACGATGGATCATGCGACGTAGAATCCAAAATACGCTTGTCTGGAGTCGGGGCCGCCGATCCATACATTGACACGGAAGGATGGGAAGAATTGCTGTCGGCACTGGTGGGGTGTCTGAGCGACAACAACTCAAAGGTAGCCCAAGGTAGCTTGAAGGTCCTTGCAAAGCTCGTCGCGAGTCCACACAAGTCCCCCGATGCCCTCCGGCCTTGCTTTGCCCTTGTTTGGGGTCCGCTCAAGGAAAAGATGGGCGACAGCAAGCTTCCCGCGCGCGAAGCCGCGACCGATCTCTTGCTCGTGTTCATGGATAAACTGGGGATGAGTTCCATGATGGATCGATTCAAGTTGTGTGCCGGACACAAGAACTGGCGGACGCGCGAACAGGTACGTCCATCTCCATCGACAACGAACTCACCGACAACTCACCTTGCATGCTGTAGATTCTCGTCGCCATTCTCTTGGCCATGCAACGCTTCCGCGGTGATCCCAATCGACTCTGTCTCGATGGACTTGTCGACATGGTACCGTCCATCTAGATTTGCCCGTCCACGACTGACGCCATCCCTTTCCAGGCACTCAAACTCCTCGAAGATTCCGCCAAAGAAGTCCGCGACGCCAGCATCAACGTCCTTGAAGCTCTCTACTCCCTTCGTGGCCACGCTCTCTTGGTACTTACCTCCCCATCCTCCCATCCTCATGACATCATTCCTTATAGGCCGACCTTCAATCCAAGCACATTCGAAACACGCACATGCGCATGCTCCTCTCCAGATTTGGCGCCGACGTACGTTATTTGTTGGCATATTGTGAATATATTCGCTTGAAAGTACTTTTTAAAATTCTTGTCTAATATTGTGCTTTCGAGTGAATTTTTTTGTTGTGGCGTGGTTTCTCGTTGGAATTGAAATCGATTTGATTGGCTACTTCAGATGAGCTCAAAATTATTAGCCAATCAAAACCTTCTAAATGAAATTCAACAACCAATCAGATTGATTGTGGATCGGTTCCGTCGGCGATTCGATTGCAGCACCCCCTCCCCAATTTTATAATATCAAATCGACAATATCAATATGGATAATCACACTGGACAGTTTTGATGATTGGTTGAAATATATATATTTGTCCTGGTTTCTGTAAGAGCCAATCAAACAATTTACTCAAAATTGGATTAGCCAATAGCGTCGATCTTCGGGTTTGTGGATATTTGTACTACCACAGTATTTTACTTTCCTTTCACCAACCCTGTGATATTGACAAGTCGATTGTTATAGGATCTAAGCAGCCTAGCGCGCGGATCGACAGCCCAATCATCATCGCCGCCGTCGTCGTCTCGATCGCTCCCGTCGTCCCCGCCCAAAGCCCTGGCGCCATCCCCCTCGCCAGCTTCCGGCAACCCCCCGCCCCCTGCGACATCGTTTCTCGGCGCTGCCCCGTCGTTACAACTGGAGACGACGTGCAAATACTCGGACCGAGAGGTGCGTATCCCTTGTTGTTTGTCCACTGTGGGGTCGTTGGGTTCCATGACACACGTCTACATAATTGTATGTCTGTGTATAAGATGTATATGTTTGAAGTATATATATATATATATCATCTATACATGATTTATGGTTTTGCAACGGTTCTGTCTAGAATATATATGTATATATTTGTGTTGGACCTTACAACACGTTGCAAAAACATCGAACATATATATATATATATATATATATATATATGTTCGATGTTTTTGTTGTGTATTGGTCTATGAATATATATATATATATATATGTCCGATGGTTTTGATGTATGTCTGTCTATGATATATATATATATATGTTCGATGTTTTTGATGTGTATCGGTCTATGATATATAAATATATATGTATATGCAATGCGTTGTATATACTCCAGCACCACTCGACCGTTGTGTGATGATTCTTGTACTTGTATGTGGGATTTTGGTGTCGTACGAAGTTCCATTTTAGACATGTGTCGACCGTGTATTTATTCCTATCTGCGTTGATTTACCATGTTAATTTGGGCCTTTTGTAGCTTATGATGGAGTTGCAGCAGATCGGACATGGGCTCGCGACAGGCACGGACTGGGCCAAACGCGTCGAAGTACGTACATACCACACTATGATCTATCACGAGGCATCGGTTATATCTGTGAAAATCGTACTTTCAAATACATATTGAAGTATACATGTTAGTTTGCGTTGTTTTGGTCGAAACATATTATATATATATACATATATATATATATTGGTTGCATTGTTTTCGTCTGTATATTCAACACACTATCTATCACATGGTATTGGTGTAATCTGTTCACACTATTCTATATATATGTGTATGTACTTTGAAGTATATAATAGTTAGTTGCATTGTTTTACACTGTTAACCATATTATATATATAATAGTTGCTTTTTTCGTGTCATCTGTTCAAACTTTGGTTTCTATCTATATTTATATACAATATAACCCAACCGACCACCCTGGCATATAAAATAGTTTTGATTCTGCTTGTCTCATATATATGGTAGGCACTGCAACAACTGCAGCGGGTCGTAGCATCCGGCGGCGCCTTCCACGCTGGGTTTGCGCCGTCGTTGCGGGCACTCCGGGAGCCTCTGTGTGAGCAAGTGGGCGACCTCCGCTCCACCGTGGCCCGCGAAGCATGCGCGACCATCACGGCGCTGGCGTCGGCCCTGACAGGCGACGATTCGTGGGCGCATTTGGTCGAGTTCTTCGTGGCAGCGCTGCTGAAAGCCACGTACGTGACGATCCAGGTCATCTCGACGTCCGCCGACGCCTGCATCAAGAGCATCATCCACAGTGGTCGCGGCGGCGGCGGCTACGTCAAGGCCCTAGCCAAGTACGACCTAGTTGTCTAGTACTATTTTGGATGTGAGGATGGAAGATGTATGGGATGCAGCTGATGGTGATCGGGTGTTTGTGGGTAGGTTCATTGAAGGCGTGCGTGCACGTAACCAAGTGCTTCGATTACACTGCGTCGAGTACGTGACCCTGGCGTTGACTTGCTGGCATGTGACAGTGCTCGACAAGTAAGTTGATGTATTCATTTATATATATATATATATATATATATATTCGATGGGGTTCAATGGCGTTAGAGGGATGATCTATATATATATATATATATATATATATATATATAAATTTATTGTCCTTTCCTTTGGTCCAAATCCATCTGATCAAGGTTTTGGACGGAATTGTGTATGATATAATACACATGTCGCCGGTTTTTGTCACACTAATTTGTCAGTCTCACACTTGAAGTCGATATGTGAAGCTTTGGCAAAAGTGAATTTGATTGGCCACGTGATTCGTGTTCTGGGGATTTGCTTGGTCGATCAATTGGTGCTGTCCGCTCGTGCGATAATTTGAACAGATACTATATATATATATATATAGACTCTGATTTGAATCAGATACTATATATATATATATATCTAGGCTCTATATGGAATGGACATTCTACATGTGATATATATGATGGTTGTTGTGTGCTTGGACTAGATATGTGGATACGCTAATTTGAATTATATACTATTTTTATATATATATATGATTTGAATTAGATACTATATATATATATATGCTCTAAATGGAATGGCCATTCTACATATGATGTATGATGGGTTGTTGTGTGCTTGGACTAGATATGTGGATACGCTGGTGGGGTTGCTCCCAGCCATGCTTTTGGACGCCCAGGCGGACGTGCGCGCCGCCAGTCGAAAATGTTTTTGGGCCTTTCACGCCCAATACGAGGTATTGATGAGAAAAAAACTTTTTTTAAAACTTTTTTTCATAGTCGCGGGCGTTGCATGTCCTGCACCACCAATTGGACAGTTCGACCCAACGACGGCTTCAAGACGACCGACAACCATGCGACACTAGTACGACTACTAGTAGTATTACTACTGCTACTAGTAGTAGTAGCACTAGTACCTCTACCGCGGCTGGATCGGTTGTGTCTTTCCCGTCAAGACTGGCGCAACCGCCTCCTTCAATGCATGCATCTTCACATGTCAAGAGCGGCGCGCTGCGCGTGGAAAACGTCGACGCCGTCACGTCCTCGTTGTCTTCGTCGTCGTCGTCGTCGGCTGTTGCGTCGGGACCTGCGCGTGTGCTGAGTCGTAAATCCGTGCCATTGAAAGACCCAGACGACGCCAGTGTCCAGCGAGTTGTGCAAGGTCCATTGCGTGTGCTGAGTACTACTAGTAGTAGTATTAGTAGTACTACTACTGGTGTGGCATCTTCGTCGTCCACCGGCGACCACAACCCAACAACGTCATCATTGTCGGCGGCGGCGGCGGGGGCCAAGCGCGTGGAGTTTCCCAGTACAGCTGCCATGTCCACTAGTGTTGTTGCTAGTAGCCACTCGACTAAATCGTTGCCCCCCCCCAGTGGCCATAACGCTCGCCACGGGGACTCTGCGACATGGATCAAGGGCCAGTATGCGACAGAGGTGGAGAAGGACGAGATGGCCATATTGGGGTTGTTGGACAAGGCGGACGATGCGCTGTGGCTCACGCGGCTGGCGGCACTAGATCATCTCGTCCAGGTCGTGCAGTCGTCGTCGTCATCGGAGGATGGGGTCGTGTTTGTGGCCAGTGTGAAGATGGTCAAGCTGGTGCAGCGCCGTCTAGGAGACTCGCACTACCGCGTCGTCCACGCTGCGCTCAAGCTCACGCTGGCCCTGCTCACGGCCTCTACTAGTACTACTAGTAGTACCTCGCTGCCGTGGAAATCGATCCTGCCCAAGGTGTTTGCCAAGGCTGTGGATGTTAAAGACAGCGTCCGCCTCGCCGCCGAGAGCGTTTTAAACGCGTTTCAAACGGTAGTAGACGCCTCGGCGCTGGCTGTGGCGGTGGCATCGACCATGCTGGACGGCATTCCGACCAAGGTGAAAGCGGTCGTGATTGCATTCATGACGCCGCTTGTGCCTCTGGCCGTGGACGTGTTTAGTAATACTTCGTTCGTGCGCAGTTTGGTGCTCAAGATCGTGCTGTTGGTGGAACACGACGGGACTAGTAGTACTAGTAGTAGTACTACATCCGCCGCCGTCGGTGGGCTCGTGCACGCGCTGTACGCGAATGTGGCGCCGACGATGGCCGTGGTCGAGTCGCATTTGCCCACCGCCAAAGCGACGCTATTGCAACGGTACAAGGCAGCTAGTACTACTACTAGTAGGAGTCGCCCCTTGGTTGTGGACCCGCCGTCGAGTCCTGCGACACTGTTGACGTCAGAAAAACGACGACTACTGGGACTAGAAGGCGACTCTAACAACGTCATGACGACAAGGGTGGACGAAGCATCGCCCTATTCGACGCACCAAGAAAACTGCGACGCTGTCGTCGGCGACCTCCGAAAGAAATTAGGGCGTGAACCACGTCGCAGAAATAACCAAACGTCGTTGGAACAGGTGCTTTCGACGCTCGAGTTGATTCAGAAAAGTAATGCGTCGACTGACGACATATTGCACGCCGTTCACGCGGTAAGCCAAGCAAGTTGTTGTCGTTTTACCCAATATTTGGACTTTTTGTGCTGTTTTTTCGCCAAAGCTATTGTGCATTTCACCCAAATTTGGACTTGTGAGTCATTTCGCACAAATATGGTGCTTTCGAATGTATTTGATTCAATTTAATCCTGTACAAACAAAACTATACAAATATTAGTATATGTATAGTTTTGCCCAATGCAGAGGGACTGATCGAGTCAAACAACGTTTGGATTGGCAGAAATTCACCAGAACGTGATTTGATTGGCTTGGGTGGTTCTTTAATCCATTCGATTCTGCTGAGGGCTCCAGTTTCGAATCGATTTGACAATATCGATCGATCGATTCTTTCTTTGTGCTGACTTTTGCATGTAAAGATCGTCCAGTGTCATACTATTTTCAGTCACACACTAATTCGATGTTGAATTGGGCGAAGAGTGGATGTGATTGGCCACTGGATTCGTACGTGTTGAGGGTTTTGGTTGGTCGATATATCGATATTGTGTGCCGATTTGGTGATTCTGCTGATTGAGAGCACCCAAATACTCTAATTTTTCCAATTTCGGATATATCGACTTTTGATAATATTCGTTGTTTTTTTATCCGCTTCTGTCGAGTTTAAAACTTACTGTAACCCTCGATATTGCCATGAGGTGGATTATTTTTATTATTGGGTGGGTGGGTATTATTCGATTGTACATTTCATGTTGTTTTTGATGTGTTTGATGCGCCAATATAATATATATTCCGTTTTTTACGAAATTATATATATATTGGAACAAATATAATAATATTCTCAATCTCTCTGTTTGGGTGTTTTCGATAAATAAAAAAAAAAAAATTCATATGAAAAAACGATCTATGGACGGAAGAAATCACACTATTTGTAGGTACTGCCTGAGTTTCGAGCGGCGGCGGCCGATGCCGTGGACGTGTACCTTGTGCAAACGATCCCGGCGCTGCTGGACGTAGCTTTGGGCTGCGGCGATGCCGATGAGTTCAAAGGCATGCAGACCCGCATCATGCAAACTGTTTCGGGTCTTGTGCATGAGCATCGGGGGACGGTGGTCGCCCAGCTGGAGCCGCTCGTGGTTGTGGTGCTGGAACGATGTCGCAGAAGCAATAATATCGTCAGTCCATCGTCGTTGCTGGTATGTTATATCCACTGTGAATCTATTCACGAGGACCAACCAGATGACGAGATATTTCTTCATATGTGGGCGTAGGGCCAGTATTTCGTAGACAAGACGCTACAGTTGTGTCTGGCCACGGTGAACGCTGTCGCACAAGTCGAGCTGCTCGTGCCCTTGTTATCGACTTTGACTTCGACGGACGTTCAAGTCGTGCTCAAGTGTTTGCGGCTCGCGTTGGAACAACTCGACATGGAATCCTTCGCCGCATCCGCCACCACCTCGTTCGACGCGACCGCCGCCGCCGTCATCTCGGTACGTACCAGCGTATATATATATATTGAATGTATGTATTCTGCTTTCGAGTGAAATTTCATTGTGTTGTGGCGTGGGGTTTCTCGTTGGAATTTAAATCGATTTGATTGGCTACCGCAGATGAGCTCAGAATTATTAGCCAATCAAAACCTTCTCAATGCAATTCAACAACCAATCAGATCGATTGTGGATCGGTTTGGTCGGCGCAACGATTCGATTGCATTCCCTCCCCAAATTTGTACTATTAAATCTACAATATATGCAGTAGACTTTTATAGTCGATGTCGCTGAGATGTGAGTCCGACTTTGAGCTTATTCTTGAATATATATATGGTATATATACAGATTTATGAACGTTATGGTGTGTGGCCAATACGATACGGAAGATGGATGGGATTGATTGGCTGAAACGTTTCATACGTGCAATTTGATTGGCTAGGATATTCTATTGTAGACATCTTTTTCAAGTGTTGGTTTTAAACTCTGCGGATAGATGTGAGTGATTGGCTGAAATGTTTCATACGTGTGATTTGATTGGCTAGAATACTCTAAAATACATTTGCCTTACATTTTCGTTCTAGTGAGTGGACTGGTACACATATCTATCTATTCGAACCGATGCTTGACTATATATATATATACGATGGTGGCTTGGGTTGTGCGGTGGCTGTTATGTTTTTTGCGTATATAGTAGTAGTAATATTCTGTCAAGTAACCCCGTGGTATATACTTCTACCGATGCTTGATTATATATATATATATATATATATTATATACGATGGTGGCTTGGGTTATGCGGTGGCTATTATGTTTTTTGCGTATATTCGAACCGATGCTTGACTATATATATATTTTATATATACGATGGTGGCTTGGGTTATGCGGTGGCTATTATGTTTTTTGCGTATATAGTAGTAGTAGTATTCTGTCAAGTAACCCCGTGGTATATACTTCTAGTGTTTGCATCACTCGAGCTCTGGCGTGCGAAAGAACGCTGTCGCATGCTTAGTGGCGCTGTATTTCCTTGGAGGGTCCGCGGCGTGTGCGGTGCACTTGGACAAGTTGCCGCCCCACCACCAAAAACTCGTAGGATTATACATCGACAAGAAAGCTCGGCAACATAGTAGCAACAACCACACTACTAGTAGTACTACTACTATGGCTACTCCACCATCTCGATAACAATGTTAATTTGTGTCTTGATATGTACGATTCAAGTTGCTGTAGTCGTTGCTCTCGAACATAGTATAGGCGCTGTAACTATAGATATACTATACAATCGATGGATAGTTACTGTTGTTGATCTCATATAGCCTATATACACACATCACTTGGATATTATCATATATCTGTTGCAACTGCCATATTATTATCACCTATCTGTTGCAACTGCCCGTATATTATGAAAGAACCATCATTCCGTCCGAGTAGTACTAGTAGTACTAGTAGTAGCTAGCACGTACTACTGCATATGCATGTCATGATGGAGCCGCCCGTCGTCGTCGTCGTCGATTTCACTTGCAGGCTGGTCGTGGTCTTATTCAATCGTGTTGTTGTTCTCGAGCACGTTGCTTTGGTATCCCAAGGGTGATTTCGACAGCAAAAACGCATTCTCGACTGGGTCGATGCATCCCACAGCAAACAAATCCCCACAATGATCATGACCATCATCTCCATTGTCATCAGAGGTCGAAGGAGGCGGCAGGCGGCGGGTGGCACGACCTGGCGCCACTGCCACGGCCATCGAAGGTGGTACCGTCTACACTGACGCTATCACGGGCGGCTACGCAAATATATATATATATGTATATATATCAAATCCGCAGGATAACGACAGAATGAACCCGAAATGAACATGCCGCATTCACCGAATTGCAATGAAATTTGGGAATAAACAGACGACGATAACTAGATGACATTGTATAGCCCTTGGTGGAGACTAGTTGATGTACTACATACCCCACTTGTTCGATTTGGACCGGCCGTTTTGGCGCGAGGTTTGGTCACCCGTCCACATGCAACGGAAGATGGCGGCATGACGTGGCAGTCTGGGACGACTCCAAATCGTTTGGTTAAGTTCACAGGCGTGACACTCGAGTGGGGGCGACGGGCTGACACTGGTTTTTGGGGCTTGAGTGGGTTGGCGTCGTGCTGGTCGACATAGTCCTTGTAGTCTAGGACAAGCTCCCTCGACACGTCCTACGTTGTATAGAATGAAGTATCAACAGGGGGTATATATTATTATCTATATCCTGTGGTTGCACAAATGAAGCACACGACATATATATATATAAGGTGATTCATGTAATTCCCGGCCAGCTTGGTCTACTTTTTGAGTGCCATAACTCGTCACCCATTCATCCGATGAGGCTGCAAAAACATGCATTTTGAAGATCGTGACGAGCTTTTTAGCAGGTCCCATCATTTGTATCGCATGGTCAATTTGCTCGTCGAACTTCTAAAATTGAAATTTCCCTGTGTGAATTTAATTCCCGGCCAGTAAGTCACTTGAATAATGTATGCCTGATTTGGGTGACAAAATCCTCAGAACCTCTTAATAATAATATGTATAAATTATTCAAGTAATTAAATTTAGAAGTGCAACTAGTATAAAAACTGTATTACATGTCGGACAAGCATAATATTAAATCTTACAAGTATGTGATACAGGAGTACGTAATTTTGTCCAATCATCGTCGATGGATGATTGTGATTGGCCATTTGCTGGCCAGGAATTACATGAATCACCTTATATATATATATTGTGGATTCGGTACAAATTTCCAGACCCCGTCGTCGAATCGAATCACGACTACGACGCTATTGGCGAATCCATTTTGGAGTGGATTATTTGATTGGCTCTTACAGAATAAAAACAAGTCTATTCAACAACCAATCCGAACTCCAGCGTGATTCAATATTGATTAGACAAACCACGCAAAATGTGAACATTTATAGCGAATTCACAATATATATATATATATATACTCGTACGTACCTGCTGGCGACGAATTTCATGCAAGATGGCGTTATTTTCGGCTTTCAAATTGGCCACTTCGGTAAGAAACGGCGCTTTCATTTCAACAATATCTCGGCGCGTGGAATGGCACACGATTCCAAGCGCGTGCAGCTTTTTCTCGAGTGCAGTCAACGCTTGGCTCGTGCACCGGACCATCCCTTCGACTGTCTTGGTGTGTTCTGAGGCCACCTAGACTAAGGTATTGAGTAAAAATATAAACATCATACTATTGTCGATTTGATAGTACAAATTTGGGGAGGGGTGCAATCGAATCGTTGCGCCGACCAAACCGATCCACAATCGATCTGATTGGTTGAATTTCATTTAGAAGGTTTTGATTGGCTAATAATTTTGAGCTCATCTGAAGTAGCCAATCAAATCGATTTAAATTCCAACCAGAAACCACGGCACAATACAATGAAATTTCACTCGAAAGCACAATAATACACACCCATCCCATTCACTGCCCAATGCCAAACAAAATACACATTAGAAGACACTCGGATGTGGGGACGAGTTTTATCCCCACAGACAAAAGCAATGAAATAACATTCTCTATGGAGTACAATTATTGTTGTGGCGTTCGAATTTCAATCGATTTGATTGGCTACCTCAGATGAGGTCAAAATTATTAGCCAATCAACATCTTCTCAATGAAATTCAACCAATCAGATCGAATGTGGATCGGTTTGGTTGCCAAATTTGTATCAAATCGACAATAGTATACGGAAATCTTTGCATCGTCGTACGTATTGGTTGCGCTTGATCAAATCTCTCAAGTGATTCGTTTCGGTGCCCATCGCTTTCACCTAACACAGTCCCTCTCAGTGGGGGTTGGTTGTGGATGTATTGTCATCGGGATGATGAGGTCGTACCGCCGCCGCCACATTTTTATCGCATGTGTTTTGGAGGATCGTCGACGCATCCGACTTGAAGTCGTCCACGGCGGACACTGCCAACGCCGCCGTCTCTTGGGCCTATGTAATCAAATGTATAATCCATCCCCAAGGAAATTGTTATACAGTAAATCTCCACGTACGCGTCGAACGTTCTCGGCGAGCTCGGCTTGCTTTGCCTCGATCGCTTGAAACAACTACATTTTTGGACGACATTTCAACGATGTGATATTATTAGTCATGGCAAACGTGTGTGGGCCTGCCACGTCATGGTCAGGTTTCGGCACCTTGGCGTCGGCGGCGTGGGCTTTTCGGACTTCGGCGGCAATGGCGGCCCCGATGTCGTGCTCGGACTTGGACGTTTCTGTGTGCACTGCATCGATCGCAGCTTGCATCGTCGCTATGTCAGCAACGACGTAAGCACTAGAAACGTTTTCAGAAACAGACCAATAGTGGCGCTGAGTTGGGCAGTGGCGGCGTTGGCCACGACCGACTCGGCGTGCAACGTGTTGACGGCGGCTTCGAACGACTGAAACGTCGTCTGGTCGTCTGTTCGGAAGAACGTTCCCGCATCGTTCTTGGGCTGTCCGCCACCAGTCTTGCGCTCGACGGCTCGGACCCGCTCGCACAAGAACGAATGGTCGTGCTTGGCACTCTCGAGACCGGTCAATGCCCCTAAAATACGCTTCTCGTTCACGTCCAGGAGCGCTTGAACGTCGCGGACATCCCGTTCCACATGCAACGCGAACGTGGCAAACATATCCCGCAGCATCTGCTCCAGGATGAACCGTAGCTTGTCTGTGGCCCGCACTTGTGCCTACATGGGGACTTTGGTGAAACTACACTTGTAAGAAAGTGAAGATTATTGTGCTAACGTCAAAGGTCGCAATGTCCAGTTTCTTGAGGTGCACAGCGTCCACCAACGTCACGTCGGCCTTGGTCGCGATGGCCTACATAGGCACCACCAACCCAGCGGTCAGTACAATGGGGGAAGAGGTGGGAAAGAAGATAGTTGCATCTACTGCTAACAGGTCCGCCCGTAGCTTGCCTATTTCCGTGGGCACGGCCGTGGTCGATGCCTACACTGGCGCAAGTCAACACGACGGATGAGAAAAGTTTAGGACCTTAAGCGCAAGTCCGGCTTGCAATTGCGGATGCGTCACGAACCGGTCGCGGTCGTCTGCGGCGGCGTTGGCCGCGTCGATCAGCATGCGCTCGTTGCGCTGCAGGTCTGCCACGTGCTGCTTGAGGCGATTGATCTCGTCCCACATGTGCAACGACTCTACATCGTCCCTTGTGGTAGTCGTCTACTGTAGTACATGACCACACCACGTCGGCGTCGTACCTGCCACCGACATGGTTGCGGCCAAAGTTGTAACTGCTAGCCGTTTCACAACCCACCCATGGCCCAAACCTTGCTAGGTTTACGCGATAACCGCTCCTCAGCTTTTGAAGGAGCTTCGAGTTGAGTGTTATGTATAACGTTAACGTTAACAAGTTAGCCATTCATGGCATCCTGTATAGATGCACGTAGAGCTTTGATGGGCGATACTAGGTCCTGTTAACGTTAGTAGAATACAAGTGTTGGATCACAATAAAGTGAAAGGCATCCACTAACTAAGCTTATGTGAATCGCGTGAATCACACTGGAAATTCTGATTGGTTGAATACACTTGCGCGTTCTGTGAAAGCCAATCAAAACTGGATTAGCCAATAGCGTCGAGTCGTGATTCGATACTTCACTAACGTTAACGTTACTACTGACGAACTGAAGTACTACTACTAGTACTAGTGAAATAGTGAAAGAACACCCCCCCCCCCCAATGCTCAACGAACACTTCTGTAGCTTCGAAACACTTCACGTTAGCCAATAATGATGATAGTGGTTACTAGTGCATGGGCTGGACGATATTGTGGAGGGTGGTGGTGGTGGTGGTCGAGGGGAGGTTGGTGGAGGCGGCCGTGACGGCACCGCCGTCGTGGTGAAGTTCATTTGCAATATCTTGGGGCGTGGGGAAGCACTGGCGTTGGATGTACTGCCCCGCGAGGTCGGTGACGAAGCTCATCGTGGTCGTGACGACCACCGACAGGTAAAAGCGCGGTTCCACCAGCAGGACAAACATCACCGAGTGGGCGTGCGGCTACGTTGAATGACTCACGAGTGTTCTCATGACGAGTACATACATACCTGCAGCACCCGCGCCATCGCCGGTGTCGACAATATAAGCATTGCCCCGTAGTCCACCAATACACTAAGCACGGTGATCGCCACCACCACGTAATTGAAGCACTTGACTTGGGTCAACATGCGCACAGTTACGACCAGCACGACGCTCGCAAACGACGCGATGCTTACACCCCACTGGCCCACCACGACGCCGTCTGAGCCTGCCACGTCATGGGCGAGAAGCCACTGCGGAATAAAGTAACACAGCGCCGAGTGGTACATTGCCAATGCAATGTGCACGACAAACAGGTATTCGTTGTAGCTTTGGCGGAGCTGGCCGATCTGGTACAGTTTCGGAAACGTGAGCACGGCCGTCGTCGACGTGTGCTACCAGTGGAGGGTAGATAGAATCAGACTCAGAATATTCTCCCCCCCATCGCATGGTATCGATCGAATCAGAGTTGTATAATATAGACAGTATCACGCGAACCATGCGATCGTCCAACCAGCCGACATCCCGCGGTGTCGTTGGGGTTTCAGACTCGGACTCAGAGAATCAGACACAGAAACACAAGGACGGATCCCAATGTCGTCGTGGTATCAGACTCAGATGTATGGGTCGATCGATGTATGTACCTGATCCAATGAAAACCCTGCCACGCACGGATACGACGTAAACAGCGCGTTATACGCGAGCGACAGCATGTCGGGAAAGAAGATTTGGCCAGAAAACCCACTGGACCAGGCAAACCAGTACTCGGTAAACACGACAACCATGTTTTTGTAAAAGTAAAACAAAATGAACTTGCACACGCGGTGGTACGCCCACGCGCCGTGCACAAACAGCAACTTGGCCACAAACCGAAACTATGGTTACACACACACACACATATCAGTTTGCAATATATGATATATATATCATCAGAAAATGAGATATATATCATTTGTTTTATTGTAGACGATATTCCAAAAACCTGGGCAATCGAATAGTCGGACGCGCGGACCGCCGCCGTGCCTTCGTGACCACAGATGCCAATGCCCAAATGAGCAGCTTGGATCATGCTCACATCATTCGCGCCGTCGCCGATGGCTAACGTCACCATGGACGACACATGTTCCCGTACGAGTTGCACCACTTGGGCTTTCTACAATCACAAACATGTCAACCAACATCACCCTATAATAGCACTAACGTTAGGCAACAACTGGTCCGCCAAAGCCCTAGCGTTACTAGCATTATGTAAACATGTTGGACAACATACTACTACGGCTATTAATACAATATCAAACCTCAATAATAAACCTATATTACAATGTGAATCAATTTAAAAAAAAATTAAAATTGATTCACATTGTAATGTAGGTTTTATAAGTACATGTTTGTTGTGTGTTATGCCAAGTGCCGCCGAATATATCAACAATCAGTACATGTGAATCAGCAAAAGCAATGACCCAATCAGATTGCAGGAAATCACTCATTTTCGGTTCAACCAATCAACAACTCATTAGTGTGAAACTGAAATTAGTGTGACGGGGAACTCTTCACTTGACGTTACGCAATTCAGTACAACAAATCGATCCATATAAATTTGACACCAAAGTCCAACAAACTATTGGCTGAGACAACGCATCATCACCAACATCATCATCATTATGATCATCATTGGTCATACTTGTTTCGGGGATACACGGCAACAGATGCACGCGCGGCAGCGTAAAGCGACACTCACAAAGGTCTGTCGTGTCGATGGCAACATGGCCAGGGCCAGCGCTTCGCCGTCGAGGACCATCACGTCCTGAACGAGCTTGTCGGCAGGTGCACCTTTCGTGGCTCGTGGCTGGTCCAGCAACTCGATTAACTCGACAAAGTACTCGTACATATCGCCCTCGGTTTTGAACCTGCTCAGTCGGTGCACCCTCGACGTCGGACTGAGTAAATGACACGCGTGGCCGACGTTAATAGCTGTCTCCTCCTTGTCCCCCGTGAGTACCCACACCCGGATGCCCGCCGCAAGGAGCCTCCGGATTGTATCCGGCACGCCCTCTTGCAGCCGATCTTCAATCGCAGTCATCCCCAGCAGCTACAACCACGGTGTCAGATACACAACTACAACAATATTTATATATATATATATATATATATATGTATAGAAATTCTCCCGAGGTAAAACAAGGATGTTATACAATATACATAAATATAGACACAACAGATGTCTCCACGAGTATTACCACTATATATCAGCTGTACTGTACATACAAAAGCAATACATATGTATTTAGATGTCCAACATAACACTAGATACATATATATATATATATATATATACATGTAATGGAAACTATCGCCATATTTTGAATACGTACAATATATATATATATATATGTACAGTATATATATATATATGCATTTCGAGACATATCGACTAGTTGTCGAACAAGAAACGAAGTACACATATATATAAATATATATATAACGACAACGCCCCCAAAAGATACCATATCTTGACGACAAAAACGGGGGGGGGTGAAAAAACCCAGTCAAAACATCGACAGAAACATACGTTAAAGAAAAAACCCATTTCCTCTTTGGTTGCCTACCTGCAAATCTCGTTCGATGGCATTTCTGGCGGCGGCGACGTGCGCGTCGCGCTTGTCGTGATCGTGAAGCATGTTAGCCGCTCGAAATGAATCGCTCCAGGCGTTGTACGTCGAGTCATCTAGGTCCCGCACGGCCACGCACAGCGTCCGGAGGCCCTTCTCCGAGTACGCGGTCAGGTGGTGCGTCACCCACGCCACGGATGCCGAAGTCGCGTCTGGATCGTGGGAAGAAGACGAAGGCGCGAGGCGCTTGAGGATGGCGGCGTCGGCGCCCTTGGCAAACAGACGCAGGCGGCCGTCGGGGCCGCGCACGACAATCGACATGCGCCGCCGAGCGCTGTGGAACTCGAGCACGTTGAGCACGCGGTACGTCTCGTCCGTCTGCGTGAGTCGGTTCCACACGACCACCGACGACGCGCTTCGCCCTTTGAACACGATTCTACATATAGCATGATGCATCCCCCCACCAAATGAATATGACGGGAATCGGTGATAAAAGCCCCTATTGCAACGAGAGGTCGACTAGGGGCGTTTCCGCCCAACCCACATGATATGGACAACCATTATATTTCGACACGACTATCGTGCCAGGATGATAAAACCAAACACTCTGTCGCAGAACCAGCCCGATCATCAATCATGCACACAAGACACGTTCATGGTCATAGCGGCGTCGGTTGAAATATATATATATATATATTATTGTCAAATCGATTCGAAAACTCGAGCGCCCAGCAAAGATTTTTTGAAAAAATTATACTTCGAAGTTGAGGATATTATTAAAAAAAAAAGGTTTTACAATCAAGGCGGATTTATTTTAATTATCTTCTAAAAACAAAGCAAAACCAAAAAATCAAACTTCAAACCGCATGTCTTCTCAAGGGAATGACCGGCGAAGCCAATCAAGAATCGCTCACGTCCTGCCGAATATTTTATGCCAATTCAACCTCCCACATTTTGGGCAAATCAAGATAGATGCCCAGTTCTTTATATTTCTAAGAACACGATAATACAAGTGGAACCATGGGACGCACCCCATTTGACGCGCAGCGGCGACCATCGCGCCTTCGTCCGGGCTCGATGCCTGGTACCGGATGGCCATAAAGTTCGTGGGGTCGTCGTCGTCGGTTTCTGGGGCCACAGAATGGCACAGCGCCAGACACAGCCAAAAGTCGAGTTGGCGCTGACGAACACGGGGGTGCTGCCCACACGAGTCGTACAGACTAGCCCACGCATCTGACGAGCCTTCGAGGGGAAACACGTTGGTTCGAGCGGTGGTAGCTGGGACGAGCAAAGACGCCTGGTTGAGAAACTGCACGTCCACAACCGTGCTTTCACTTGCCCGGTTATAACTGGTGAATTTGTTGCCCAAGGTACCCGACACCCGCGTGCCGGTGCTGGTCGTGAGGCGCGGCAGGACGAGGCTGGGGAGGTGGAGGCGCGGTCGGGCATGTGTCGTCGGACACGGCGGCGCCGGCGGCACGCGGGTATCGAGGCGCCGCGGTCGATCAAACGAAAATGCGCGCCCGGTCCCGACGATCGCACACGCAGCAAACACCATCTCGTTGCATGTGAGCGTGCCGGTTTTGTCAGTAAAAACGAGCTGGACCTGGCCGAGTTCTTCCACGAGGTTGGACGTCCGACATTCGGCAAACGACGAGTACGAAGAGGGGGAGGAGGAGGAGGATGGGGGCAGCGGGCCCCCTTGGTCGGGGGGGGACGGGGGGGTGGCGGTGCGCGGAGGACTCGACCGAGTGGCGACGACGAGCGCCATGTCCGTGTCGTGTTCGACCAAGTACTTTTGAATCAACTTGACCACTTCGATGCCCACGTACAGCGAGATGGGAATCAAGTTGGAGTATGCGACCAGGAACGTCAAGTACACTTGACCGCCGTTGGCAGATGATGATGAGGAGGTGTTGGGGGTGTACAAGTACGGGGTACGTGACGAATGTGACCACGTGAGCATGGCAATGACATTCACAGTGCACAACAGGCCTACCACAATCGGTTGTTTCCATCATGTTTCAATTGAGTCATGGTGAGACGATCGAGAAGCCAGCCATGCTACATATATATATTATATATATATAGATGTACTAGTTAGTACTACGTACTATATGTATCATTAAGTGGAGTACCTTGGACAAAAAACACAAAGTACAGGCATCGGTTCATCGTGAGCATGACGGTGCTGCTCTTGTACGGTGGTGCACTGCCGTTGAGAAACGATTTGGTGTCGTGACCTGCGTACAACACGACCCCTACCGCCCATTTTGAATGGCGGATGCTGCAACCGCGCAGCAGCACTTGGTTTAAACTACGTTCAACCGCCGAGGCCATATATACTCAACAACGTGAAAACGTCAAGGGGATGGGTGTAACCCCGTGGGTGGGACGTACGTGAGTAAAACGGGGGTGGCGCTGGCCACATGCAGCGTGCCCCGAAACGAAGCCAACGACGCCGTGGGGGATTCATGCTCTACCCGACCTCGAAGGGACGCGAGGGCTTCGGGGGGCATCCCCCCGTTGACAGCATACAGTGTTTTCAACGAGCTTTCGCCGTCCAAATTGGCCGAATCGATCGAGCACACGCCGCTGTCGGCGTCGGACGTGGCGAGAAGGAGGCAGTCGGCGGGCACCTCGTCGTTTTTGCGCAGGAGGACGAGGTCGCCGACTTGGAGCTGGTGCCACTTGATTGTCTTGACAGGGAACTGGAGCAGCGGGAGGGTGATTGACGGCGACGGACTTTGCGATGACTCGGAGGGTCGTAATGGTGGTGGTGGGGGCGCCGAAGAAGAAGAAGACGAAGCGACGTCGGCCAGGACGTCAACATGGCGGGTGTTGATGTCGGCGTCCGAGAGATGGCGAATGTAGTCTTCGTACCCTTCTTTTGCAGCGGAGAAGACGAGTACGGCGAGGAACGTCCCAATCAACGACACGGGGTTCTTCGGGGAAAACGGCATGGACGTGAGGACGCTCAGGATCAAGAAGTAGATGTTGGCCACGCGTCGGAACTGTTCAAATAAGTTCTTGGGCACGAACGTGAGCACCGTGTACTTGGCCGTGTGGATGCGGTTACCGCGGAAGCGTTGGGCGTGGTTCAGCGCGGCGTTGTTTAGGTACGTGATGCGATTCCCAGCATTGGCATGTGGCTTGGCTGCACTCGCTAAGGGCACCGGCTGGAAGCCCTGCATCATGGCAAGACTGTGATGTTAGATTGCGGTTACAAGGTTACACACCACGCGACGTGACGGTTACAGATTGGACATGGCATTTGGGAAATAGCCCAAATTTGATGTCCATTTGGAAATATCCTCGTTGGACAGAGAGTTCAAGGGGAAATTACCCTGGAACGGGTGATGGGTACGAATGGAAACTTCCTTCTTTCCGGATAGTATCCGTACGTGAACAAAACCAATTTAGGCGCGAAGCAGGCAGGGCATGGCAACAGCAGACGAAGTCGAAGTGACGCTCGAGGAAGTGCTCCAAGAAGACAACGAACTCATCGACACCGCCGACGCGGTGTTGGGAAATGCAAGCGCGACCCATTGCTCGTTCCCAGATGGGTACATCCGCCAGGCATTGTTTGCGTGCCTCACGTGCAAGACGGACGAGCCCGCGGGGTTGTGCTTGGTATGTGCTGTGACGCCGCCGCGTGCTAACGTCTGTGTATGCTAGGCATGCAGTTTGACATGTCACGCAGACCACGAACTGGTCGAGTTGTACACGAAGCGCCATTTTCGTTGCGACTGCGGCAATGCAAAGTTCAACCAAGGTACATGTCATCCCCTCATGTTTGTCCGCCAATGCAACCGCGGAACCACGTTCCAATGACATCTTGTATAGATTCGCCTTGCAAACTGTATGAAGGCAAAGACTCGTTGAACAGCGAGAACGTGTACAGCCAAAACTTTCACGGCCTGTACTGCGCCTGCCATCGACCGTATCCTGACCCGGACCGCACGACGCCCGAGGTCGGTCCATCCTCGTTCATCCTCCAAGGACACTCTCAACCCGTTTTGTTTATCTGTAGGTCATGCTGCAATGCATCGTCTGCGAAGACTGGCTGCACGAAGAACACCTCTACGAAGGTTCATCGAGATATATCGAGACCTGTCCATCTTGATCTACCCACACGACAGACTACTCATCCCCTCGTGTTCTCTTCGTAGATTCAACCGCCGCCCTCGGCGCCGACGTCGAGTTTGACGAAATGATTTGTCGAACGTGCATGGCGTCGCTTCCTTTCTTGTACCATTACGTTCCCACCACGACCACTACTTCATGCACGACTACTATTTCAACGACTGAATCCACCTCCAAAGCCGCATGTCCTTCGACGACCGCCATCACAGTTCCGTCGCCACCGACGCCGACGTTTTGGACCCACGGGTGGCGCGACTCGCTCTGTCAGTGCGCCGCATGCATGGCCACGTACGCGTCATCCGCGTGCGAGTTCCTCCTGGACGCGGCAGACTCGTTGATGGCGTACGAAGCGTCCCATGAGTCGACGTCGGGACAAGACGCATCGGAACAAGCGTTCCAAACGGGTTTATCCCACGAGCAGCAGGTGGAAATGGCCATTGGATATGACCACATGGCGTCGGCGTTGAAGGAGTACCTGGCTGGGTTTGCGGCGTCGGGGCAAACCGTCAAGGCAGAGGACATCCAGGGCTTCTTTGAAACGTTGCGCGCGTCCAAGCGGCAACGGCGCGAGTAGGGAGAGAAAGAGAGATGCTGTACGACGAATAGAGAAGAACAAATGACGATGAGGATGCGATATGGTATTTTCAGGAACTTACTTGTACTAGTAGCTAGTAACTACTATAGCTAGTAACTACTACCATTTCAAAGTCATGTTCACACACCAGACAAAGAGAACATCAATTAGGTACTATTAATACTACGTAGTACTGGTTAGTTACTATCAATATACTAGTTACTCAATCGGAGGAATGTATGTACTACTGTAATGCAACTTGCACTTGAGTTGTGCATTTGTGGCGCAAATCAGTACAACTAATAGTATTACGTACTCGGAGTAGTAGCTACTAGTTGTACTTACTAGCGCTACAATGCTTACTTGGAACAGGCAAACATGTCGTCCCTTCAACAACACTCGTGCACATTTACAACAATACAGTAGTAGCCCCCTTCTAGCGCCATTCAATAGGTCTAGTATACACAATACTTGAAGTTATAGTCTATTTTTTGGATTTATTCTTATTTTTATTTTGAATAAAATATTATTCTTTCTTGAACTTCGAAGTAGATCTTTGTTATGACCGGTACCGGTACATATGTACCATATCCAAGGCAGTACACTAAAATGGAGTCGTCACTTCAATCAAGAAGAGAAAGCAATGGGCACGCAGCGACAGGGATTGTGGCGGCGCAGTGGACGCCCAAGGATGGACTTTTGCATTCTCTACTTCATCGGAATCCTTGGCGACGGCAGCATGTACGGGCGCGTTGAAGATCGGCACCAGATACATGAGTAGACGTACTATAGGTCGTACTTGAATGGTCGACGGCATACTATTAATAGCGTATGTAGTATTAACAGAAGTAGTAACATCAAGTGATAGTTTTGTGAACTATTAATAGTGTGACGAATCATCTTGAATTGTGACGAACTAGTACAGGTTTATGAATGCTGTTATAGTCAAAGTATTACACAAACATAACTGGGGACTGCTGGAAGGTCAGTGAATAAAGTTACATGGCGCCGGTACTGTAATGCGGCTAATACATCGCAGCGACGATGATACGAAAGGTGTTATAATGGTGTATACAATATTGGGGTGATCTATGACGAGGCAACCGCGGCGGCAGGGGCGTGCGCGGGGGTATACGCTTCGATGGACTTCCCCGCCGCGCGTTCAGCTTCGTTCTGGGTGTACTGTTCCTGCGCCACGTCCTTCAGCCGACGCTTGTGGACCTTGGACACGATATGGACATCGCGGGCGTTGGCTGTGATGAAGTGGCGACCACACGGCGTACAGTAGAACTGGCCGAGACCAGGTAGGTCTTCGTCCGCTTCGAACGCGATCTTCGCACCCGTCGCGACTTCCTTCTTTAGGTCATCCTGAATCTGGTCGATGTCACGCGATCGGCTCTTGGTCGCGTGCGCGCGCTTGTAGCCCTTCTTCTTGCAGTGCGCTCCCTTCTTGCGTGTTGTCGGCCCAGCCATGATCGTGCACTTGTGTTTTTCACTGGTGGCACCAAAATGTGTTCAACTTGTCGCTGATTGGACGAATCGTAGCCAATGGTCTGGGCGGGGGGACATCACTTAGGTTCGTATGTTGTGGCGTGAAGGGAGGAGTGACAATTGATACATTATCCGGATACACCGCTTGCCCCAAGAACCTGTGACAATACATACCAGACATGTCTCGGTTTGTCTATGGACGAGAGTCAGTATATTGAAACAAAGAGGTCTTCTGGAACCACGACTGGTCACGTTTAAAATTTCATAGAGCGTTTGTATCCATTTATTTATAATATATCCGAGTGAAATCATCCGGATACCACTTCTTTTTTTTGCCCAGGTTTTACCACATGTTCGTGGCGTTGGGTCAACCCGCAACCACATTTCATTCCGCCCAGCTACCAGTCGAAGGACATGGTGCTGCATCAGACGACGGAGCACGAGTACCCGTACTCGTGGGATGTAGTGTCCCGCGCGTTCTGGAACAAGTACCCGAACGCCACGCTGACGCACGTGGAGCGCGTGGATGTGCTGTCGCGCTACATGGACGCAGATGGTCGCCTGCACACGGCCCGATTGATCAAGTGCACACAGAACAACATGCCGTCCTGGGTAGTGAGCATGATGGGCAAGTTCTCGTACGTGTACGAAGAGACGATCTGCAACCCCGTCGCCAAGACCCTCCACCTCAAGTCCACCAACTTGTCGTATCGGTCAGTGGCCACAGTGCACGAGTCGTGCGTGTACAGACCCCACCCTGCAGGCGAAGGGGGCGCGTTGGCGCACACCATGTACACCCAGGATGCAGAAATCAGTGCGTTCGTGCCGTTTGTGTCGCAGAAACTCGAATCGTTCTCGGTGAGTCGCGGCGCCGAGACTGCCGCGCGCGGCCTCAGTGCCATGGAAGCGCTGTGCAAGGAGATCTTCCATGGCCAGACAGCGTTCTGCGAGCCCGCCCCGTCCAAGTCCAACTCGACCAACTAATCGACCCGACCATAACGTAGTCGTCGCGACTCTGGGCCCGATATTTATAATATAGACTCAAAACGATGGGAATTCTACTGGTCATGTCTACATGTGAACAACTTGACGTTCATGCCGGCAAGGCCCGCTCCCTTGCTTCTCGTTTATGCGCCAATTGCGCCAGCACTGCTTGAATGTCGGCGTCCGTCTCTTTGCCCAGCGCCGCAACCACTTCGGCAGGTGCATCGTACACTACCCATCATCCCACATGACTGTCGATAATGCAGCAGCATTGTGGCTTCGAGTTACCTGCCGCCACGTCCACCAGTATCCGAGCCGCGAGCAGCCGCACGTTCAACACGAGGTCCATCGCGGCTAGATGAACAAACGGCGCCCGCAACCTCGCGTCAAACACATCCACGTGGCCCTACACATGTGAATCACGTCATATCCATGATCACGTCATGGGGGCGGAGTGTGGGGTGCTCAATCGAATGAACAGAATAACCACATCGGCAGACAATCGAAAATCGACCAATCAAAACCCAGATCACGAATCAAGTAGCCAATCCAATCCACTCTTAAAAATCAACCACGAAATAATGTGTGACTGAAATTAGTGTGACACTGGACGATCTCTTCATACAAAAGTCAAAGAATCGATAGATTTGGCAAAAGTCGACCAAATTTGGGGTAAAAGGACTATATATACATACCGCCAAGAGGAAGGCCCTGGTGATGCGCAGAAACGTCTGGCGCGTGAGATAGCTGGGCGACGTCTGCAGGTCCAAGAGCTGGCTAGTGAGGGCATCTGTCCATTCCGCCGAGTCTTTCACAGATGCAAACAACGATGGCATTGCCTATGGTGGTGGATGATTGATTCGCATAAATGTAAATATAATATACATTGGAATATATACAATTCCCGTAAAAAGGAACATGGTGCTGGCATGAACAGGAAACGAGAAAATCCAAAGATAGACAAACCACAAATGCCACCATTATCAATATATATATCTACCTATAAGAAGAATATTATATAAAAGAGCAACTACATAGATATATATATACACGAAAGCCACCATGATGGTATGTTGGTGGACATGATAGTTCATACCATCCAACGACCCAAAACGAATAGGGCGGGGAATATATATATATGTATTCCCCGCCCTATTCGTTTTGTTATATACTCAGACACGAAATATATAGATATCTTATCCAACGCTTTTGTCTTGGATAACAAGAATATATATATATATATATCAAGCCCTAGTCGTACCGCAATGCTGGCGTCCCGAACACACGCAACGTCGTCTTGACTCAACGCAAACACGAGCGGCGCGACCGTGTCAAACGTAGCGGACGTTTCAAACACGGTACAAAACGCCGGCAGTTGCTCCGCCACGACCGCTCGAATGCGCCACTTGAGCTTGAACTTGGGGGGAAGGGCTGTGAATTTCGCGAGTTCGGGCAGAAATCGAGCCCGAGACGAAGGGGGGACCCTTGCCAAAAACTCGCCAAAGTGAGTGATCGACCCGAGCTTGACGTCGTCAATGTCGTCTAAAAAGTACGCAAATGCTGGCACCAGGTGCGCGTCCGTGAGGTCGGGGCCGAGAAGCTTTGCCATCTATATGAAAGAAGGTTGAGATTCGAAGGAGACCAATCAAAACCGAGAAATGAATCCACTGGCCAATCAAAACCGAGTACACAACCCCACGGGCCAAACAAAATATCCAATGTATCGATTTGAAACTGCAGCCGTCAGCAGAATACTCGATTGTGTTTTGAGAATGGATTAAAGAACCGCCTAAGCCAATCAAATCACGTTCCTAGTGAATTTCTACCAATCCAAACGTTTGATTCGGCCCAGTAACCCTCCATATTGGGCAAAACCATATATATATACTAATATTTGTATAGTATAATTAGTACAAGCTTAATTGGATCAAATGGTTTGGCGAAATCAAGTCCAAATTGTTGGGGGAAATGCACAATATCTCTTTGAACGGTTCTTCGGGTGAGACTACTATTAGTGTGACGACTACTATTTTAGTGTGAAACCCCCGACGTTTTGATATACAAAATCATGCAGTACTCCCAACACCATCGATCATATATTGTCAAGTCGATATATTCGGAGAGTTTGGGTGGTCAATCGAATGAAAACAGAATAAACAAATCGACAGACACAATCGATTGACCAATCAAAACCCAGATCACGAATCAAGTGGCCAATCAAATCCACTATTCGACCAATTCATCATCGAATTAGTGTGTAAATGAAATTAGTGTGACACTGGGCGACGATCTTTACATATAAAAGGCGGTAGATATAGTAATGTACTGTACTTCGTGGAGCGAATATGACAACGTCCGGCGCACTTTCCAAAACCCGTCGTGGGTGAGGGCATCAAACCCAGCTGCAAGCTGGCCCCACCTACACTCACCCACAAAGTCGAATCAGACCGTTTGGTTGGAATCAGAATCAGATAATACGCAGAATCAGAGGTCCTGGTCGGGTTTGTACGTACAGCGTCGGCCCCACAGTCGCGGCCACGGCGGGGTAGTTGTACGCGCAATGAAACTTGATGTCGGCTTCGGCGCCGCCCAGCAGCAGCGTCGACGGCTTCGTCGCCATGTTCGTGAACGCTGTCACGAGGACGTCCGAGACGCCGTCGCGGGATAACGTGGCAATTAGCGGCCCCAACTAACACATACACATGTGTCATGATGACGTAATCACCACCGTGATATCTCGTAATATATTGTAGTGTATATATTCTACACTGGAGAAGCAGAAGAAGGAGAATTTGAGCCAATCCGATTGCACGAAACCATGAGTGTGACTTTAAATAGTGTGATTGCAAGCACCCCAGGACATTCAATTTCATTTCATTTTCCAACAAAATCGACGGCCAATGTGGATTTGGCGATTTTGCACAAAAATGCCAATTTTATTTAGGAAAAAAGTGAATACCTGCTGGTACGCGGCTATGCGCACCCACTTGGATTGGTCCGTGGCAAATGTCGAGAACAGCGGCGCCAGCACACGGGCGCGGGTCGGCCCTGATAACGTCATGGCAAAGTCACTGAGGGACTCTGCGCATGCTTTGCGAACACCCCAAATGTCATCTTTGGCCAAGCGTAGAAACGCTGGTAGCAGCCGGTCTAAGCAAACCGACGAGGACTAGTACTACTAGTAGTTGTTGTGTCGAACCTTCGGTGACGACGGGGCCAGCGATGGTGCACACTTGGACACAGTTGAGTGCTATGGCCTTTCGTACGCGAAACACGGGGTCGCCTGCTAGTGAGATGAACTCGGGCACGCAAAACTAACCCAAACAATGTTAGTAGACTGGTTGGTGTAGCTAGTACTAGTACTACTACTACTAGTAGGAACTACTAGCGAGATGATCGTACCTGGCAGCATAAATCGGGGCCAAGGAACACGGCGAGTTTGTTGAGTAGGGTGAGCTACAGGTTCAACAACAACATTCATCATACAGTTGAGAAAAGGCAAATAAATTCGAGAAAATGCAACTACTATTTGAGAAAAGGCAATTATTATTTGAGAAAAGGCAAAATAATTCGAGAAAATGCACCTATGATTCGAGAAAATCCGCCTACTATTTGAGAAAAGGCAATTCTTATTTGAGAAAAGGCAATTATTATTTGAGAAAAGGCAAATAAATTCGAGAAAATGCACATAAATTGTAAAAACAATAGAATATTCCCGTTTGAAAACGAGACATTTCGACTATGGAGTGTTGGTACCGCCGTGATGCGCATCTGTTCGTCGCCGTCTTCATGCGCCAGGGGAAGCACCAGCGTGAGAATATGCTGCCCCTGGTCTTCTGGCTTGATCACACCCGCCACGAGCACGACCGAGTCCGTCGCGATGTGCCGCACTTCGGCTTGCACATCTGTGACCAGGCGGTTCAGGAGCGGCACCATCTTGTCCAGGACGAGCTTGTATCCGACATCTCCGCCCGACTCGACCAAGTGCTACATGTGAACGATCGTGTGTGGACATGGGAGAAGGAGCGAGTACTACCTTGCACAGACCGGGGAATTGGCCCGCGAGGTGTTGCCGCACGACGAACTCGGCGTCGGACACCAACGGTTCCAGCACAGGAACAATTGCTTCGACCGTCTTCTCAAAACTATCGTACAGAGCAGGATAAGCTGCAACATGAGGGATTTGACGGGGAAGGACGGACCCGGCCGCGACCGCGGTTTCTTCTAGCATGCGGACATGAATCACGCGCTGCAGTGCGATATTGCTGTGAACGTATCGTACAACACGCTCCAAATCGGTCAACGTGTCGTCGATGGCCAGGTCTTCGAAGGTCGCGCCGCTGCTGTCAATGTTGTGGGAGGACATGTCATCCTACACTTGAGGGCATGAGGACAACATGAGACAGCCGAACGAGATGCCGCTGGCGGCTCCTCGAAGGCGCTTCTCGTGGCATTGATCGTGTGTTCTGCGGTACGTACTCGGAAGGCCATGCTCTGTCACTCTCCGCCGGTGACTTACACGCTGGCGCTGTTGCGGAGGTGGAGGGGCAATGGAGAATAATACGGTATGTAATTCACACTAATTACAGTGTATGATGTAAAATAGTGTAATGTTTCCAGTTCGTTTAAAACCTTCGAGGTGTTTTAAACAGTTCTTCCATTGGATTTCGGACATTTGCAACCAGTGACGGGAACAAATATATATTCAATATTCGCCAAATCGTTCAAAAATCCAAACTGATAAGTGAAGCGCTACGACTGGTATACTGAATTCAAGTAGATAAACAATCACGAAATAGATATATTGTTTAAACCGGTCCGGACAAGCTTAGAAGGACCGGTCCTATACGCAACGGCCTATACGGGTACTGGTCAAGAACAACTCTCATTCGACATTTGGGTAGTGTGATGAACTCGTATCACGTCAAGTACAAGTGCCTCCAGGTACGTCATGGCATGCGATGTCGTGTCTGATGCTGCGTAGGAACTGGAGGAAGGGACACTCAAACCCAGGGAAGCCGCGAAGAAGTACAACGTGAACAATCGGACAATTTCTCGGTGGAAGGCCGACGCTGAGAGCATTCGTCAACGGGTGGAGTCGGCGCCGCCCGGGGCCAAGTTGACGCGCAAGCCGCGCGCGGACTTCAAGCGCAAGGAGCGCCCTCTGTCCAAGGACGAACGTCGCTTCAAGATGTTTGTCGAGTCGCGGGGGAAGACGTCGAAGCTGCGTATGGCGGACGTGATTGCCAAATGTCAGCAACTGTTGCCGACGTCGGCGGGCAAGCAAGGTCACAACTTGTACATGTACGTGTTTCGGTGGTTGCGGCGGCACAAGCTCATGGAATGCGTGACGTTCAACACGACCGGCCGACCCAAGGCCCACACGAGCGACGAGGACAACGACATAGACGACATAGACGACATCATGGACGAGGCCGCGGACGCCGCGTACTACGACGCGCAGGCGAGTTCCCACATGGGCCCGTCTTCCTCGTCTTCGGCGGACGAGTCGAGCGACGGCGGCAAGGCGGCGCGGTCCGACGAGATGAGTGTCATCTACGCCCTCACTGCGCTAGCCGAAGGCAACTCGGGCAAGACTGGGAACCGCAGCAAGAAGCAGAAGAAAGCGAAGCCATCAGCCCAAGTCCAGCCAGACGTTCGCGATGGGAAAGCAGCGGGCGGACAACCTGACAAGGAAGGAAGTGAAGGGTCGAAGGAGCAGCAGCAGCAGTCGCCGACCATGCCGACAGAGGCATCCACGCAGGAGCAATCGTAAGGTTATATAAATATATGCCCAAGTAGCGTTATGTACTGTTGGCGTGATTAACTGTTAACTCAACGGTACAATCTTCGACCATTAACTTTGTGGGAGCTTGGGAGTACTAATGTCTCCGTAATTGTATATATATATGTTTCAATATATATTTCTATATATATATATATATATATATACTATATTTAATAATAAATGTGATAGTTTCACAACATATATATTTCAGTATGTTATGAAACTATGACATTGATTAAATATAGTTTCTTCGGCGCGAAGTGAAAAATATTCTATCGTCGACCATTAACTTAGTGTGCGCTTAGTACCTAACGTTAGTATACACGTTGTATTATGTATTACATGTATATATTTCTCTTTTCAATCTGTTGAAACTACCCCACTCGAATTCAATACTTGGGCTTCGACGCAAAGTGAATATATATATATATATATATTTCAAAGCAGTAGTCGTTTATTAGGGTTAATTTGATATACAGTTTAAACTATCACGTGAATTCACGAAAAATATTCTATTTTCACAGCAAGCCACGACATATTTTGATTACATAAAGTTGTGTTGGTGATCATTCACACTTTGTTTTATACAAAAACACCACCGGCAGGATATAGTTAGTCGTCGTCATCTTCGTCGGAGAAGGGAAGGAGGGAGATGCTACCGAGGAATGACAGGACGTCGGCATCCCGCGTGCGATCGATGATTCGCTTCATGTCGGCATAAGACAACCCTTCTCGAAGGTGGGAGTAGACAAACTTGACCATGGCGAGGTCGCCGCGGCGGGCGGCGTGCATGAGGGCACGCGGCGTGGCGATTTCGTGCCGAATGAGGAGAAGCAAGATTACGATTCTCAAATGTCCACCGAGCGCCGCGCCGTCCACGGCGTCCGACGTGCATCCTGCCTGGATGTTGTGCAGAGTCATGACCGTGTCAAAGTGTCCAGCGGTGGCCGCGCGGTCCATTGCAGCAGACGTACACCCTTCGGTGCGATGCACATGTAGAAACAGCACGATCGCCTCGTGTCCAGCGGCGGCAGCGTCATCCATGGCATCCGTGGTGCATCCTTCTGTGCGATGGAAGTGAAGAAAGGTCACGATGTCGAAGTAGCCGTGCTTTGCTGCGGCATCCATCGCGGCCGTGGAACATCCCGGATGGCCTTCTTTATGGAGAAACAATAGCATACGCAGATGTTCATGGCGAGCAGCGAGGTCGAGGAGCGGTCCGTCGAATGTGCAGATCCCGAAGGCGTCGTGGAGTTGGTGCACGAGCAAGAGGTTCCCGGTGCACACGGCGTGGAACGCGACGAGAGAGCGCATGTAGTGCATGCACTGCAACATCTTGACGAGTGTGAATGGAGACGAGTGATGCAACCATGCGCTTAGAATATCGTGGAGGAGGGTGTGGTCGTCGGTGGGACGATCTTCCACCGCTTGGGCAATCGCCTCGCCGCGGCGGACACGTCGGAAAGGTGCCATGGATAAATGCAGTGGCATGAACTCGAAGAATATGCCGCCTTGGTAGTCAAAGACTAGTCGAAGCAGTTCTTTCGACCGGAGCACTGCATCGCCTTGATGGACGACAGGAAGTTGACGCCGTTTCTGCATTTTCAGGACGTCGGAGAATCTATTATCCGGATATGACCCCAAACCTTTTGTCTCATGATTAATTACCAAACATCATTAATAGATTATAAAGATACTAACCTACCGTAGTACAACGGGCAGTATAGTACTAATTTTAAACCAGGATATGTGCATTTTTATTAAATACAAGGAAAAATCACTATCCGGACGATGGACCCTTCTTCGCGCGCAATATTTTGAAATCAACTGCAACAAGGTTCGTCGTTATGGCAAGTGCCAAGGGAAGCGTGGTGTCGGCAAAGATACCACTAGGAATCTTGGTCAATGTGTGTGGTATCATGGAGAGCTCCCTCGTGGTCGTGCGCCGTGTCCTCCGTGAATTCTTCGGTGCCATGGCGTCACTCCGACAGTCGGCCCTCATTGTGGCGAGTGTGAATTCCATTGGAAACGGCACCGAACTCCATCGATCGGTGTGCGCGTTGGATGCTCTCTTGCAGCAGATCGAGCGCATTAGATCGGTGACCGGAAAGCGTGACATCGGTCAGCATATACGGCACGAGTGCTCGTGCCGCCGGGACTTACCGATCGCCATGCGGCTGTTGCAACAAGCAGAGTACCACATCGTGTACATCACGGCGCCGACCACCGCTCCTCGAGGGGATGAACTCAAGAATTTTGTACGAGGGGGTAACGTTGTGGTCCAGTTTATCCTGTTGCGGTCTGAGGTCGAGGACATTCAAAGCACTGCGGACAGCTTGATGGCGTTGGTGGACGCAACGGCCGACATGCCTTCCGTGTCCATTGTACAGTCCGAAGACACGCTCATAGACGTGCGCAACACCATGGTACGTTTCTCGACAACGATCTCGACAACTACATAATCATATTGCAGAAGCCGTGGTTGCGAAAGTTGCAGGCACACATGACCGCCGTTGTTCGGTGGCCGCCCTCGTCTCCAGACGACATGTCTACAACATCCCTTCAACTGGTCCTTCGAAGCAGCTTTAGCCTACACGAGACACAGGAATCGCAATGGCACTTGCTCCACGCGGGCTTGGCCCACCTCACAGCTCTACATGTCGTGCCGCTGGATTCGGTGGACGGCAGCGTCGTGATCGGGCTTCCATTGACCTCCGACGCCGCCTCAGACCCGTGCGTTGACCCCGTCGCCGTCAACATGCACTACTTCCTGCGCACAAATCAAAGTGGTATCGTCGTGAAATGCCGGAACAAGGCGGTAACTCCATCCTTTTATATAGTATTATTCATGTCGTCATGGATGTGACGTAGGCTTCTGCGTTGGAGTTCTACTTGCTCGTGGCAGCTGGAACCACGTACTCATCCCAGTGCCCCTTCATGATGTATCGATTAGCGCCAACTGATCAGGTAAGGCTCGAGGTGTTGGTTTCTTGACCAAAGCATGGGCAGGTGCTGCTTCCACCACCGACGGCACACGAACCTTTCGACCTGCCGCCGATAGACACGTCGTTCAATCCTTCCATTCCCAACCAACGCTTTAACCCATTCGACTATGATTCAGGAGTCGGCGACGTCACGACCCATGTTGTGACCCCAGTACCCATCGACGTCGCCCCACAAGCAGTATTGCCACCTGCTCGCTCACTCAAGACCAAAGCAAGGAGGTTCCTCTGACAGGCGCAACAAGCAGAACTTCGTCATCAGAGCATTCATTTCAATGTATCACCTTCCTCTGCATGTTTCTCGTGTATATAAATAAATAAAGCCGCGGCGTCGGCGGCAGCTTTTGGAGGACATTTCGACAACGGACAGATAGCCCAATCAATGGATATAGCGTATACAATTGAAATAACCTCAATATATAACGTATTTAACCATACCTTTACTTGGTAGAGTGACTCCGTGTTTTCGACTTTTAACGCAATCGTTTTATCCACAACGTTTAATTGAAGCCTCGCCTGTGATTGGTGGTGAGATTTTGGTCGCCACCATTCAGTTATAACTAACTAACTTACTTGCAGCTTCAAGATGAGCGTGTTGTTTGCGCCAAAGCGCAAGCGCCAGGCAGTCCTGGACACGGCGCCGCTCGTCCCAACGTCCAAAGATGCCGCAAAAAAGGAAGAAGACGTCTCTGTATCCACCAACATCGTCGCAGCCGCACCCACCCCCACCACTGAGCCCACGTCCACGACGTCGATCCTTACCACGTTCGCCGACTTGGGCCTCGATCCTTGGATCGCCGCGAAATGCAAGCTCCTGGGTCTCATCAAGCCAACTCCAGTCCAAGCCAACTGCATCCCTCCCATCCTCGCAGGCCGCGACGTGATGGGATGTGCGCAGACCGGTAGCGGGAAGACGGCTGCGTTCGCGTTGCCAATCCTGCACGACTTGGCCAAAGAGATCTACGGCCCGTTCGCGCTCGTGCTGACGCCGACACGGGAGCTCGCGTACCAGATCGCCGAGCAGTTCCAAGCGCTTGGCAGTGGGCTGTCCCTCCGCACGTGCGTCGTGGTCGGGGGTGTGGACATGATGACACAAGCTCTGACGTTGCAGCAGCGGCCGCACGTGCTAGTGGCGACCCCCGGCAGGCTGCGGGATCACATGCTTCGCGCCAACCCGCCCAACCTAAAGTTGATCAAGTACTTGGTCCTTGACGAAGCCGACCGGCTACTCACGGCAACGTTCGCCAAGGACTTGGCGTACCTGCTGGGGACGTCGGTAGGGACTTCCCATCAGACGCTGCTCTTCTCCGCGACCATGACGGCCGACTTGACATCACTCGAGAAGATGGCCATGACGAATCCATTCCGGTTCGACGCCACGCCCACCGCCACAACCGTCACGACGCTCAAGCAGTCGTACTTATTTGTACCTGCCCAGATCAAACCCACGTACTTGCTCTTCCTCCTGCAAACCCTCGTCCATATCGACGACCCAGACGAGTCGTCGCCATCGAAGAAGCCAAAGAAGCACCGCCGTCAAGAGGTCGTCGGACCCGTTGCCATGCCCAACAACAGCAGCAGCCAGTCGATGATTGTGTTTGTGGCCACGTGTCGCATGTGCCAGCTGCTGTGCGAGATCGCAATCGAATTCAACCTCCCCGTCGTGGCGCTGCATGCGGTGATGGGCCAATCCCGGCGTCTCGCAGCGCTCGGCAAGTTCAAAGCCGGCACCGCGCGCATCTTGATTTCCACGGATGTGGCATCACGGGGGCTCGATATCCCCGACGTCTCAACCGTGGTCAACTACGACCTCCCGCGGGACGCCGACGACTACATCCATCGCGTTGGCCGCACCGCGCGCGCCGGACGCCACGGCTCGGCCATCTCCCTCGTCACCCAGCACGACATTCAGCTGCTCCACAACATCGAAGCCAAAGTCGGCAAACCATTGGCCAACTACGAAGACCACGCGCCCGAACCTCAAGTGCTCAAGCTGCTCAACGACGTCACGACTGCCACCAGAGTGGCCAAGATGCGCCTCACGGAACATGGCTTTGACGACCGCGTTGCCGCGCGAAAGAAAAAATGGACGAAAAAGTAATAAATAGTATTAAAACATAAGCAATGGGCAAGTGTGATTGTTTATCCACTAAAAGGCGTTTTCACGCAGCAAAATGTATATATATAATATGTTCATGTCGATTCGAAATTGGAGTTCAATGAGCAGAATCACCAAATTCGGCATACAATCGACTGACCAATCAAAACCCAGAACAATAATCAAGTAGCCAATCAAATCCACTCTTCGACCAATTCAACATCGAATTAGTGTGTGACTGAAATTAGTGCGATACTGGACGATCTTTACATACGTTCGATAGATTTGGCAAAGAATCCGCACAAAAGTCCAAATTTTGGGTAAATGAAAGACAATATATATGCAGTTCATCTCGGAAGTACTGGCCAACAGCAGCACATACAACATCTAGTACTCTTTTGTGCCCTATAATGTGTATGTTTATTTGGCGTAAGTAAGTACTACCATTGTTATTATATCGTTAACGTTACCGACTGCTCGACTTTGAAGACAACAAAGTAGAAAAATAAAACTAAATCCGTCATTCCCAGTCTTATTTTCAACCACGAGGAAAACATTCCACGTCCAACTCGACTTTAACCTCCACGATTAAAAAACGTAAAACACCACGAGTGAAAAACCACGTGGATAAATAAATACTACTACGTAGTAGTATGTATTAGTACTACGTAGTAGCGTCGTGTTGACCAACTAATGTTAAAATATACTAGCTAGCACCTACATTAACCACACCAAGCGACGACAACCATCGCTGGATCGCGATTGAGGTGATGGTTTCATAAAGTGTCATGAGATATTGCGGGTCGTGGGAACGACGGACGATGACGGCGACTGGGAGGTGGCGGCACTGCGGCGGTGAAGCACCGACGACGGACGTTCGCTTGCCTGAATGCTGATGGGGGTGTTCATGTCGTCTTTGGGGTCGTTAGCAGCCAAACAAGGGGGCTGGGAAGGTGGTGATGGTGAGCAAGGCTGCGTATTATACTGCAGGTTAAATCCAATGGAAGAAGCAGCCGCAGGACACGACGACGACGTGAGGATTGGTTCATGACTCATGTCTGGCAAGTCATGGTGTCTGTCGTCGTCGTCGCGGAGATGCAACTGGTTTGTTTCCAACAGCTTGGTCACGCCAAGCACCAACTACAACCAACCATAATCATTCCATTACTGTATCATCCACACACTCTGTCGCACATATTAAAATATATATATATCTACATTTGTATATATATATATTGTCAAGTCGATTCGAAATTGGAGTGTTTCGGTGCTCTCAATCGAATGAGCAGACTGACCAAATATCGCGAGCCAATGGATCGACCAATCAAAACCCAGAATATACGAATCAAGTAACCAATCAAATGATCCACTTTTCGACCAAATCAACATTGAATTAGTGTATGTCTTGAATTAGTGTGATACTCGACAATCTTTTCATACAAAAGTCAGTCCAAACAATCGATCGATCGATCGATTTCGAGAAAATCACCACAACAGTCAACCACATTTTGGGTAAAAGGACAATATATTTATATATTAAAGATTGATCTTCATTAAGAAATCCAGAACAATTTGTTGTAGTTATATTTAAAATAAAATAAATAGCAAAAATAAATATTTTTAATTTATCGCTATAAATTATAGAAATTAAATCATTTAATTTTAAATTTTTATATATATATATAATATATACGGGATGATTACCTTTTGCTTTTGCTCCACCACGTGGCGGAATTTCATGTTGGGTGCAAAGAAATACACGACTTCGATCGTGTGCAAGTCGGTAAGCGCGATCCAAAATCGAGATGGATTGATGGGGCTGTCGAGATGGCCCCGCGGGTCGATGGCGGACGCGGCGGCCGTCGGCTTGGAGAACAACGACGACCTAGTCAATGCTTTGACTGCCAGGGTAAAATTTGGGTTGGCGCGCTTGTCGGGGGGGGGCAACCCCCTCACGGAGGACAGAGGCGCCGCGGCTTCTCCTCTTGCAGACGAAGCGGCGGCGGCGAGGTAGCAGTCGGCGTCGCGCACGAACGCGCGCGTGGCGGCGGCGGACGTGGCCGGCGAGAGAGGGATGGTGATGCGGAAGCAGCTGTGTTGGGACTTGGCGTGGACGTCCATCGTGTGGTGAAACACGACGCCGTTCGGAATGAACGCCAGACCCTTATCGTATTGCCGAAGGGTAAAGTACTGCAGGTACATGTGCTCGACGACGCCGGCGTGCCCGAGCACTTGGACGTGGTTGCCGCTCTTGATGGGCTCGTCGATGAGAAGCACGAGCCCGCCCATGACGTTGCGAAACTGGGCATGGGAATGTGATGAGATAGAAGTATGTATATGGAGAGATGGAGGAATATATATATATATATATATGTAGCAACAACACGATAGATATAGAGAGATACATGTATATTGTGGTGGCGAGGGATTGTTTGCGAGAGATGGGAACGGAGGAATATATATATATATATATATATATATATATCAACGACACTTTTATATATGTATATGTACATTAACCACAATATATATATATACGAATAATGTATATCGTGGTGGAGAGGGATTTGTCATTTGGATTGTTGACAACATGTGAAGCACAAGTTTGGGTTGACAGGAGGTAAAATGGGATATATATATATATATAAACCGCAATATATACAAAAACAATATATATATAAGTATATATTGAGAGGGATTTGTCAGTTGTATTGGTTACCCAGGTGTGGGAGCTGAGCACAAAGAGCACTTCCATGAGCAGCACCATCGTCGTAAACACCTCAGTCGTGCTGAAGTCGAGCTGGTTGAAGAAAAAGTAGTAAAACACCACTGCGCCAAGCACATATTTGAGCATCTAATCAAGGCATAAGGATGACGAGAGGAGGGAGGGATGGAGGGTACCCCGATGCCTTCAGACACGATCATCGCCTTGCTCGAGTCGTCCTTGCTGCTTGAACGCTCCCATCCTTGGGATCGAATGATGACCTGGAACTATGGTCAGGACATCCCTATGCATCAGATCGTACGATGTTGAGGAAGGCGCAGAATTGAAACACGGTCCACAGGACAGCAGCCCCCAGGACCATGAGCACGAACGTATTGAGCGTCTTCACGTCATCAAGCGACACAAACTTGATCGCAACCAGGATCGACACGACAAACAGGACCCACGACAGCGGCAGCAACACGCGCTTCTCGAACTCGCGGATTGCGGCGTTGGCGGTCTTGTAGCGCTGCGCCGACAACGCACGCATGAGGAGCTTCAAGATCGTCTCAATAACTTGCTTGCGAAAGAGGCCGGCAGCGACCACTAGGCCCACCGCGCCAACGTAGTTCCACCCCAGCAACGGCATCTTCTTGTGCAAGTTGAGCAACTGTATAGCGATAAAACAATACGTTTTACCTACGTTAAATGATTAAACGCTGTACTGATTTGAATCCGGATAACTCAAAATACGCGGTACTGGTTGGCTGAAAGTTACGAAAGATATCTGGAACCCACCCAATCGAATCTAGCACTGAACCCCGCCGCGACCATTGATTGGTTGGCTGAAATTTCTATTCTCTGATTGGCTAAATTTTACTTTCTATTATCCATGTATTTTCTGCGGATTATACTGTGAATAGTATTTGTTAAGATGCCACAGATCTGACAGAGAATTCCCTTTTCAAATTGAGAAAATAATAGCAAAATATTTTGATCTAACCCGTGGATGCCGTGATGGAATGGGAACCATTGGTGGACTAACATGTAGATAAATATTGGACAATTGCAGTTGAAAGTATCAGAAAACAGAAATAACTCAACGTATTACAGTATGTACACCAGCTATCGTTCGAAAAGATGTTATAATATTTCTGAAAAGTTGCAAAACGAGGTGGTTTCTGATATTTTTTGTGCAGCCAGAGTGGCCCTTAGCCAATAAAATAAATATCGCAGCGACGATGAGCGAGTTTTGTTTCGTAAATCGTGTGTAGTTGGATGTACTTCGTAGTAGTTTATATACTATAAATATTGATTCGTGTGTATTTCGAAGTATATACTGGAGTACTTCGAAGTACTATTAATAATACTACCGTTAGTACTTTTAATACTGAGTACTACATACAGTGTATATATTGATTGCACCCACTACAAATATCAACACGAACTCGTTACTGTAGTACTGTACTGCATTTGACAAGGGTGTTTGTTGTTGGCGCGTCCTATGTACCATTGCTACTGTACAGGCTGTACTCAATGTGTATATGGCTATCTGTATCTACACTACCATCATTAGTGATGCCCCCCGTCAGTTGCATGTTGACCTCCGCGTTTATATATACTATATGGTACTATGTGAATATAATATATATGCAGGCAAATGGGGTGCTGCTGCCGTACAAATAATCAAACTTCACAGAGTTTCAAGGCACAACCAGTGGATTCTACGATATTATTATATATTTTACTACGTAGTAAATATTACTTCAGTAGTAAAACCCGTAATACTAGTTGTACATCATCAAAACACTCTCGAAAAACGAACTTTCTTTACAAAATACACCGTCGACTAGTTTGTACTAGTAATATACTAACTACTACATAGTAATAATAATCAGCGGTGAAAATCATGGCCACTGCTGCCTTACCATTGGCATCTCAGTGTGATATATCTATTTTGAAATCAAGCATATTCGTGTAAGTAGGAACAAGTAGGCAACAATAGGTCGTCCATCCCATTCAAAAGTGTCATCGACTTAGTTTTTCGCGCGGTAAAACGTCAAGTACGCCATGTGCCAGTCGCCGCCGCCCTTGAGTTTTTGAATGTCTTCCGACTTGCACGGGGTCACGTTGTCGTCGTCAAAGCACAGCCAGTCGTCTAGTCGACTCAGAATCAGATCACTCGGAATCAGATAGCCATCACATACCGTCGTGGACGCGCGCCCAGCCAATGTAATGGCCCGAGTCCGCCGATCGGCCCTTGTGCGTCACCACTGCAAACAGCTCGTAGTTCCCCTGGAAGTCCAACGGCAGCCCAATCCCCGCCGTGGCGCGGCCTCCCGTCAACGACATGGTCTTGGCCGCCGCCAACGCCGCCGCGTCTTCGTCCATCTCGACGTCCGCCACTTCAACCGCCGCCGCACCTCCATCTACTTTCTACAACACAGCCACAAATGAGCCAATGTATTCAAATAAAGGTACTTTTGACAATGCTAGTCGTAATTAATAATAATAGTAGAACGAGTGCCAATTTAAACGGGTATTGCTTGCTTGGTCCACAGAACAAACTGTATTGAAAACAACAAGGTAGGTTATACCTTGTCTTTGAATTCGTTCAAAATCAAGTCGGCATTCCTACAATAAGCGTTCGCATGAGTTATTACTTGACATCGATGAAATAGGAATAAAATAGTTGTATCATGCATTGCACCCTCCAAAAAAATATAAAAAATGGGTTATTTTCCGAAATATATATATATCGTACTTGTCGCGGCCCACTTTGAGCACGGCTTTGAGTTCGTCCGAGCAAAACGCAAACGAGTCCAGCACCATGGGGAAGCTAATCGGCTACAACAAACGACAATTATATATATATATATATATCGTATTCGAACGATAATTAGCATAAATATATATTTTGCCAACACGTACACGCAGCATTTTACACTTGACCCCTGTATGGTCGCGGCTCTCGGGAGTCAATTTCCAGTAAAAACGCATGAATTGCACGCACAAATACTTGGGCAACCGGTTGATTTTTTGCGATTTCTTCCACGTGGCGTTGCGGCCCAGCACGTCCGAGTTCTTCTCAATCGTACCTTCCAAGCCCTACATAGATATCAACATGTGATATCGTGCTTTCGAGTGAAATTTCATTGTGTTGTGGTTTCTCGTTAGAATTTAAATCGATTTGATTGGCTACCTCACATGAGCTCAAAAATTATTAGCCAATCAAAACCTTCAATATTTAAATAACCTAATGAACTTTAAAACAAAATGATTGTTTTTTTTGTTTTTTTAAATACTTTTTTCATATTCTTTAATTAATAAATATTACGTATTAATTCACCTCCTAAATTTAATTTTTTTGCTCAATGAAATTCAACCAATCAGATCGATTCGGTTCGATTGCACCCCCTCCATAAATTTGTATCGAATCGACAATATTATAATCCTTTTCGCTGATATATTTGGACTTGCAGAATATTCAATTCGAGCCATACAATCCATGTACAGTATATATACCCATTTCAAGATAAACATATGGACGGGACCAAACTAATCGATGATTGGATGAAATGTCTCGCATTCGTGCACTTTTGATTCGCTACGACAGTCTCAAAATTCGACTCCACATTTGGCAAAACGTTGATTCAATTCGGAATTTGGACCATAGCATGCTCAACAAAGGGGATGTACGTACAATGGTGATGCCTTCCGAGATGTGATTCGTGTCTTTCGTGATGTTGCACACCAGCTTGAGCGCCTTCTCCTTCTTCGAGATCACCGGCTCGTTGTCGGTTTCAGCGCATTGCAGGCTAGACACATCAATGTATGTAGACTGTAAGATACATCGAACGCGATGCTCGAATTATAGCAAAGTCAAACAATGTAACATTGTATTCTATAGTTGGAAGCACTACGATATGTTATAACAAATACGTAGGACAGGTATAACACAACATATCACATGAACGAATGACAACGTTACGTACGTTTCTTCCATTTCCAAGCCAAATAGCGCGTCCACCATGTTGTCCGTGGTGTCGAGGCTCTTGATCGTGGTCGTGGGTTGCTTAAGCTGCCGCGCCAACGTCCCAAACAGCGACGACAAGAACTCATCGCTGTCCTGCTGCATGTACCCGCCGCGGGGACCTTGCTGGGCAAACTGTGGGAACGCGCGACGAAGCGTCTATATTTGCAATAAGGGTGAGGTCAAAGACAGCAAGAGGATGGACGTACGTCGACGAAGAGAATAGGAGGAATGCTGTCAATGTTCGCGTCCAATTGGTAAAACATGTCCCGCAGACTCGACGTAAAGTTGTGCGCCAAATCGGACGTCATCCCGCCCTTGTACTCCTTGAGTGCTTCGCGGAACTCGGGGGCGTACCGCAAACACTGGAGCGTCGAGTTCATGTAGCACGTGTTGCCCAAGTTGGTCAGGCCCGCGGGATACGTGACCCCGGCAGACGCAAGGTCGGACGATGACAGGTCCTCCGTGAACACCGTCTTCACCTCCGGCGCCTTGACTTCGTCGGCCGACCCCATCAACATGATTTGGGTCAATTTGGATGCATCCAAGCTCGACAAGGCCACGTCATCCTTCAACATCCCTTTCCATGCCTTGCTCATGAGCTTCTGGCGGTCCACGGGGACGTTCGTCACCGCATAGATCTGCGCTCGAAGGAGCTCGACGGTGCCATGCTCGAGGTCTACGTCCACATCGAACGACTGCTTTCCCCACTTCAGAGCGACTTTCATCTTGCTGCCACGAATATGTTGGATTGTGGGGAGGACAAAAAAAAAGACGGATCCAAATCCCACACAGAAGAACGTTCGAGACTGGAGTAAACCCGAATTGCGTTTTAAACGTTAAACTAAATCACTATCGGTCATAAAAACATTGATTCTGGTCACTATAGATGTAAATCAAAGTATACACGATTTACGAAACAAACACGAAACAAAATACACCAGACTACTAGCAATCACGAAACGTTTTTGTTTCGTAAATCACTTGTATCTAATTCCTGCTATCTTGAAATTTGTATCCGATTGCTTGTATCTTAGATATATGGTGATTTACGAAACAATCACGAAACATGCATACTATTAGTAGTACTACGTAATTTACTGTGGACAGATATCACA